GTCTTGCCCATGGCGGGAAAGAAACATCATCTAGATATTGGGAAGGATGTTAGCATTGCTAAACTGGACATATCAAAATAGATTCTCTTAGTGTTTTTTCGGTTTTATTTGGAAAAAAATTACACATATTTTGGTAAATATTTAATATTCATAGTGTAATATTAATTTTGTCTACACAGGAATGTATCTGTTTTACATGTCCCAGGGCCACATAACTGGTCTGTTTGAAACTGAACAGTATCGGTGAAAATCAGGATTAGTTCAACTGAATTCATGTAGATGATGGTGTGCAAAACACTCATTGTGTTTTGTATCTGGCATAATGACCATGTTTTAAGTTTATGAATAAACCTTGTCAAATCTGACTAGACTAAATCCAGCTGGGCACACTATTGGTTATTTTCTTATTTTACTCCTACTGCCCAATGTAGATACATGCACCAATCCAAAATGTAATTAAGATTACACTTGCAGTTTTGATCAACCTGGTTCTTCAGGTATTCAAAGTTAAAGAGACGGGGAAAAATGCTAGAAATATGGAGAGAACCAATCTGAAATGTAAGGCATTAAGAAGAAGAGTAGTTTTCCAATATAATATTGTAACTTTTGTGATATGTCACTTTGATTTATTAGTATAATTTTGTAAAGAAAATGCGGTTCACTTCTCGTTTTCCGACAAAATGGCTCTGGTCAGGCTGGCCTGCAGTGCCACACTAACTACATCACAATGGCAAGCAGATGTAAATGAGCATTAATAGGCAGGCACATGCTGTACAATGGCGGCCTCCAGTGAAGGCATTGTAAAACAGGACCATAGTTATTCCATGTAAACATCTATTTTCTGGTGACACAACCAATATCGATTGCTAATATGACTGTTGAGGCGAGGGTGTATTGCACAATATCTCTGTCTGGTTATATGTAGATTATTCACATGTGTTAAAAACAGCAAAGTTGTGATGATCATGTCAACAAAGCCATTTTACGGATTGTTCTTGTTCAAAAGTACAAGGAAGGAAGGATTATTGAAAGTTTATACATTAATCGCTCTGGACTGGCATACACTTATACTTGTTTGTGTGTGTATGTATAAACCAGTGTGTGATAATGAAGAACCACACCTTTTAAAGATTTAAGCTGACAGACACAATCAACAGTGAAACCCCAATAAAGCCTTTGGTCAGACTCGAACTGACATCTGCATACAGACAAAGTCTAGTATACTGCACTCCCTTGTGCTACAAAGACTCACATATGGTGATAGTTTCATGCTTGACCATGCGGACAGCTCTTATTATTCAAATTCAATTCATCCCAAACAACACATTCATGGTGAGTATAGTCAGTTGAAACCAGACTGGTTGGTCATTGAAATTGACATATATATTTGAAGAACTTTTTTTTTGAAGCATTATTTAATTATTTTCAATAGAAAGGAGATGGATTATTTACCATAAATGGTCAGGTAAGTGATATACCCAGTATACATTTTTAATTGATTACAGTGTATGTCGGTGTGATCTCAAATTTAACCATATACAACTTGTACCATTTCATCATATGGACAACTGGTCGTGAAGTAAACAGGTATATGCATGTAACAGTCCAGGACGATTAACGTACATACTTCAAATAATCCTGTTTTGAGTTTTTAATTCAAGTTTAGTCTGCATGCAAATGTCTATATTGTATTGGATCAGAGATCTAACTTGATGGAAAGATTCTTGCCACACAACTTCATGTCTGTTGTAGACATAAATCACGAAGGAACACTATGACATATCCATCACACCAATGACTTTTCTATCATTCACATTTACCAAGTTTTGTTTTGTTTAATTTTGTTTCTTCAGTGTAACCCAATCCTCATAGCATGTCCTACCTTACTTTCTAGTAATGTCGTACCAAACCAGCCTTCGCTTCATTTTGATGTTGAGTCTTGACTTCTAATCACCCTGATGTCTTGTTTAACCTTTGTTCTGATGTCTTGTCTAGCTTGCAACCATCCTAATGTCTTGTTTAACCTTTGTTCTGATGTCTTGTCTAGCTTGCAACCATCCTAATGTCTTGTTTAACCTTTGTTGTGATATCATGTGTCTAGCTTGCAACCATCCTAATGTCTTGTTTAACCTTTGTTCTGATGTCTTGTCTAACTTCTGACCCTTCTGACACCCTGTTAAACTTTTGTTCTGATGCTATGTCTAACCTCCTACCTGATTTCATGTTTAATTTCTGTTATGATGTCATTTTAACATTCGTTGTGCGATCATGTAACTTCACTGGTGTCATGCTAACATCCGTTTTCATTTCGTGCCTAATCTCCACTCTGATGTCAAACAAAACTTCTATTGTGATGTCATGTATAACTTCTGTCATGATGTCACGTCAAACTTCTGTTGTAATGTCATGTATATCTTCCATTGTAATGTCATGAGTAAATTCTGTTGTGATGTCATGTATAACTTCTGTCATGATGTCATGTCAAACTTCTGTTGTGATGTTGTGTATAACTTGGGTGGTCAGGTGGCCCAGTGGTAACGAACTTGCCTTTCACCTAGCCGACCGAGGTTCGATTCCCGGAACGGATGTAAAAAGGTAAGGGGTCACCTGTCCGATCACATGGGTTTTCCCCGGGTACTCCAGTTTCTTCCCACAATAAGACCCCTCGCGTGCTTACATCCGGGCCAACAGGAGTGATCAGTATAAGTTGACATAACTTGTTTCGCAATTGTTGTAAAATAAATAAAGCTTATATATATGTATATCTTACATTGTAATGTAATGTGTAACATGTGTGATGTTTTTTGTAACTTCTGTTGTGATGTCCTGTTTGACCTTTGTGCTGATGTCATGTATAATCTCTTTCTTGATGACATTGTTACCCTCTTTGTGTTGAGTCAAACCTTTTTTTCATGTCATTTTCTATATCTTCTCATGTCATTCAAAAAGTTTTCTTGTGCCAACCATCTTCTCATGTGATTGATACCAGGTGACATGCTATCTACTTATGAAGTTATATGTTGATGCCTCTTATAGGCTTTGTGTTATGTGCTGAACAAAATTATCATAGACGAACAAACAGATGGATGGAGAGAGAGATATCGATACTCCCTTGGATGAGTATAAAAAGAACAGTCCTAAGTTCTGGTAAATGTTCTAATTTAAAAACAAAAAATACAGGGTAACAGTTCATTGCATGCTTGTTTTGAACCAAGAAAATCTTTTTGTCTTTCCAACTATTGCAACAAAATAGATTCTATGTATCATAAAAGAAAGTACATATTTGCTTTGATCTTTTCAATAACACCATTTTATTTTCTACAAACCACATGTAAAGGGAGACAATCGTTAGAGTGGAGTGTCAATCGAAATTTTAAACGTAAAGGGACCTAATCCTAAATTGATAACAAGAAAATGTGAATCAAATTTGATTTGACAAAACAAAAAAACTTCACAATTACAAATGTTTATGATATACGTTAATGGTTATAATCAAGTTTCTTTCACATTTACAACACTGTCAGTACTTCAACAGCCACAGAAAAAACCAAAAAAAAAGAAACTGAGTTTTAGTATTATTTTCAAAGTCGAAATTAACAAATGCCCCGCCACACCAAGAAAAAAATACAAACAATCAATTTGTAAAAAACTGTTTAATCTGATTACAGAAAGGTGTACGTTTAAGAGCACTTCTTGTATGATTCTGTTCATATAACAGTTTTCACTGTATCATGCATATTTCTATTAATATAACAGGTTCCAGTGTGTCATACATATTTCTGTTAATATAACAGTTTCTAGTGTGTCATACATATTTCTGTTAATATAACAGATTCCATGGTCATCTATCTGTCTGTTAATATAACAGTTTCCAGTGTATCATGAATCTATCAGTAAATATCTTCCTTTTAATATAACAGTTTCTAGTCTTTCATCTTTTTTTTCTGTTAATATAACAGTTTCCAGTGTATCATGAATCTTTCAGTAAATATAACTGTTTACAGTATATCATGTATCTTTCTGTTAATATAACAGTTCTAGTTTACAGTGTATCATGAATCTTTCAGTAAATATAACTGTTTACAGTAAATATATCATGTATCTTTCTGTTAATATAACTGTTTACAGTGTATCATGTATCTTTCTGTTAATATAACTGTTTACAGTGTATCATGTATCTTTCTGTTAATATAACTGTTTACAGTGTATCATGTATCTTTCTGTTAATATAACTGTTTACAGTGTATCATGTATCTTTCTGTTAATATAACTGTTTACAGTGTATCATCTATCAGTAAATATCTTTCTGTTAATATAACAGTTTACAGTGTATCATGTAAATATAACTGTTTCAGTGTATCATGTAAATATAGCAGTAAATATAACAGTTTAGTGTATCATGTATCTATCAGTAAATATAACAGTTTCTAGTGTATCATGTATATTTCTGTTAATATAACAGTTTACAGTGTATCATGTATCTTTCTGTTAATATAACAGTTTCTAGTGCTTAAAGTTTCATTCTGTTATTCCTTTTGCTTTATATATGTGAGTTTCTGGTATATTACATGTATATACCTGATTTCAGTATATCATGATTATTGACTTAGATATATAATTACTGTATCTTTTGATAGGGATTGCTTTCATGATTCTTTCATACCATTAGAGAAAAAAGTTAAGATTCTAACATTTAGAAATTTACATAATGCACCCGTATGGATTTCACTAGTTATAGAACAATAAGACAAAATTATGCATTTAGCATTTTATAATTTCAGAAAACTTTCAAAATGTTTTATCCACAAATACTTGGGAAACAAAACTGATTTGGTCACATCACACCTGGTACTTGAATATAAATAAATAACACTGGGAATAGATAAATGATCTCATTCACTTGTAAAATCGGTTTCTGCATCGTTATTATAAATACATATCTGTAAATATTCTAAAATAAGGATTTTCTAGTGATTTCTATTTATGTCAGCGAGGACAGCTTAGAGATTTGAAGTGGACTGAAGACCCTTACTGATAAGAAAGGCCTCCTGTGTGGGGTCACGTCCAAGGAAGTTCCGCAGCATGTCAGCAGCATCCTGGATAACAGAAAATATAGGGACTATAAACCTTGAACTTGTCTTCATCTTCTTATTACAAAAGTACAATACAATATTCTGTACATTAATAGAGTTGTCCATTTAAAAAAATTATTAGTGTCGAAAAACTATTTGTTAGTCTCTTAATATGCGATTAAGCAGTAGAGTTCTCAGTTTGAAGTCAAATCGCAAAAAACCTTTCACTTTTATACTGCAAGAAAAAGACAAAACAAAAAAAAAAAAAAAAACAAATGCAAAGACAAAAAAGGAGAATGATAAGCTAACCAACTAATCTATATATATTTGTAAAACATCTGATGTAGTTTACTGAAATTGATTAATCCAAACTATAGGAAAAGTATTTAAAACACATGTATCTATTTCCCGGATATTGGGACAACATCCTGCCCAAAGGGGACGACACCCAAAGTTTATACAAAATTCACTCTCCATAGCCCAAGAATGCTTCAGACCAAATATGGGCAAAATCTAACCATCCCTCTAGAAGGAGTAGGATTTTAAAGAATTTGCTCTACTTCCCCAACACCTTTCTGTCTCAAAGGGCAGAGACCAATCCATTATACAAAATTGATTCACCAAAGAATGTTTCACATTAAATTTGGGAAAATCCCAATCACTCCTACAGGAGAAGAAGGATTTTGAAGAATTTGCTCTCTTTCCCCAATTAGACTCTACTCCTGAAATCCCAGGGAGCTGAGGCCCACTGTTTATGGAAAACTGATCCCTCTTCATTCAAGAATGCTTTAGACCAAATTTTGGCAATATCCAATCATTACTGAAGGAACGTGGTATTTCATAGAATTTGCTCTATTTTCCCAATTTGGCTCTGGCCCTAGGGTCCAACAACCTCTGATAATACAAAACTGATTTCCCTTCACCCAAACTGATAGATTTTCCTCATTTCGCCCCATCCCTCAAACCCAGGAAGGCCGAGATCCATCATTTATATAAATGTATTTCCTCTTCCCCTAAGGATCCACTCTTTATACAAATCTTGTTATCTTCATCCAAGCATTCTTTAAACCAAAATTGGACAATATCCTGTAATTCCTTAAGAATAAGATTGCTTTTAAAGAAATTGATAGATTTTCCCTATTCTGCCCCCACCCAGGCCCAAGGGGGCCAAGATCCACCATTTAAAGAAATCATTTCCCTTTCCTCCAAAGATGCTTCAGATCTGATTTAATTAAAATCCACTCAGTCATTCATGACGGGTAGCGAAATATAGGAAAAATTGGCTGATAATGGACAGATGGATGATATACGCTGGATGCCATGGTATTCCTATCCCTACTGCTCACTTGTCCCTTTAGGTCAGGTGACCTAATAATGTACAATGCACAGCTAGGGGACTTTGAGGAGCTTGCATACAAAATATGATAATAATCTACCTGGTAGTTTTCAAGCAACAGTAATAACGATATAGTGATAACAAAATGTAACAGTCAAATCAAAGATGGCAGCATATCTGTAAATTTTTTTTTCAATCAGTAATAAAATGGACAGTGCACACTTGGGGTTTTAGGGGAGTCTGTATATGAAATATAAGAATGATCTAACATGTAGTTTTCAAGAAAGAATGAGTACAAACTCTAATTTAGTATCTTGTCTGCCATACAAAGAAAGCAATGCATTATATTTCTGACCAGTCCAAAAATTTAACATACAAAACTATGGACAACGAAAGTTGACATATGAAACTGGAGAAAGATCCATCCAGTACTTCTCAAGAAATACTTATAATTTGAATTATTTATGGACTGACAAATGGAGAGACCACAGATGAAGGGCAATTTGAACGACTCACCATCTGATGATGAATGGCTTAAAAATGACATGAAACATATGGTCCTTGTCAAGAGTTTAGTGATACGTCTATAATGCACATCCTTAAATAAAAAGGTTCAAACAAAATTAGCTTTTCTCTCAAGAAAAAAAACATCCTGAAGAAGTTAGTGATAAGTAAATGAAGAATAAACATTAGAGTAGGTATAATTCTATAATGACTTACAATGGAGCCACCAGGGCGTAGAATATATTTCTTGTAGTCACCTCCAACCTTGGGGCTCATGATACCCTCCTTCCTGAACCGTGAGTAGAACATATCCATGCAGAAAACCTCGCTCCACTGAAACAGATGTATCACACAATATATGTTTACCAGATTTATTGTGATCAGGAAATTGATTTATTTACAATAAAATCTGGGAATATCATGGTAGATTTTTAGATCCATGAGAAAGGCTGACAGAAATCTATATGCAGTATCTTATATTATCTTATATTTCATGATAAATATCATCGTCAGTGATGATACATACTTTACAAGTGACCAATCAGATTGGTTTTTCTATTCACTGCCTGGAAATCTGTCAATATTCCTATTCAGATACAAATGAAGCAAAGGTTGAATAATTGGTTATTTTGTTATTTTGTGAATCAGGAGGTTTACAAATAACAGAATTGGCAGGAATTTAATAAGAAGGTCTAAGTGGATGAATATCATGGACTTCCCTGTTCTCAAGTTCCATATTTACCATAAAATATTCTATTCAGAAATCTAGACATAAAATGCAGAAGAACCACAATTTCCATTTTGTCAAACCTTCATGTACATGGATGTTTCATACCAAGTATCCATAGTACTGAGCATCGTATCCCCATGCCAGATGACCAAATGAGGCAGCAATATTAGTTCCAGCTATTGACTCAATACCTAGAATTTCCTTGGAAAGACTGGCAAAAAATGTAGCTGTATCAGCCTGTAAATATATGTTAAAAAAAGTGGTAAACCTTGTCAGCATTCTACATTTAAACAGAAAATAGAAGACATGAACTACTGGTGTGTTTCAATAGGAGAAAAAAATTTGAAAAAGAGATGTCACAATTATGCTTTATCTTTATTTTTATTTTTATTTTATTTTTACATTATCAAGCTTTTTACCGACCTCTGCCTGTGTATGAATAGTCTGGTCAAAGGTGCCGAACAAGATTCGGCGAAGGTTGAAAACACCTGTGTTAGCAATGCGACTTTGGAGGAGTTTGCCGAGCAGTTCCTCTGGAAGAGCACTGTTATCTTTGTAGTGAGAGGACATCCGGGACAATGGCTCCTTCTCCCAACACCAGTTCTCCAACATCTGAGATGGAGCTTCAACAAAGTCACGTTCCACGTGGGTACCACTGTAAAATACCAACGACCATGGTGTCATAAAAACAACACTACAAATGCGATTCTGAAGTTTTTTCGCAAAACAAACAATTCTAATTTCATGGAAATGCAGCTGAACACATATGAAGATAAAATTTATAGGACATAAACAATAAAACATATGCTACTATGATGCACAATGAATTATAGAAAGGAAAAAGGTGGATAGACAAGGGAACACTATAGCTAAGTCCAATGTTCCTGGGGCTTTAATATAACCTTTGACTGGCTTTCTCCACATAAAAAATCCAAATCTCTCCTTAGCATTTGATCCAGCATTGTGTCAATGTATCCTTTTTAATTCTATATCTTACCTGAACATTGCAAAGTCTGCCTTGGCACAGATCTGATGCATGACGTGACCAAACTCATGAAAGTAAGTCTGTACCTGTAAGGAATACAAATGATACAGCAGTCATGATCAAACGCCCACAAACACAGGAAATAGACACATTTTCACAGAATAGTGAAATTTTTACAGCTACATGTGCATTTTTTTCTTAATCATAAGTTAGTTGGTTGAATGTATTAATTGCAGACAATCTGTCAGTACTTACTATATCAATTAATTTCTACTAATTACATAAATGCCTCTGTTTCACATTCATCAAGCTTTCTCTCAGGTAGTATGTAAGACATTTAAAGAGAAAATTATTGTTGGACTTCAACAGGTTTGTATTATGAATACACAAAGTTAGTACATGTATACTATATAGGGCCTGTACAGCATGTATTGCTCATCTGGTTTTGTTCACCTAAATTAATGGAAAAGAAATTTTAGAGTTAACATCTATGTTCTTATTTGTCTCCACCCAGCTTCCCCAAGCAGGTCAGCCAAACCATCTAAATATAAGTCTCCTTCACCCAGGTATGTTGTAGACTAAATTTGGACTTAGTCATGCCATTGCTAAAGTAGAAGGATTTTAGAGCAGTTCCTCCATTTCCAATATTGGATCCTGCCTCTTCTGCCGCCTGAGTGTTGGCCATAGTTTAAATAGCATTGATTCCCCTTCAATCTAAGATACTTCAGACCAAATTGGGACAGAATCCTGACATTCCTACAGAAAAAGAGGGATTTCAAAAACATTTGGTAAATTTTCCCTGATAGGTCACAGAGGGGTCAGACTCACTAGAAATAATTAAGTCCAACATCTCCCAATGATGCTTCTGACCAAAGGTGGTCAAAATCTACTCAGTCCTTGTGTTCTGAATAACACACTAATTCAACAGATAATTCTTAGCATACCTCGTCATGAGTTAGTAGAGAGGGTTTGTCTGCTGTCGGTTTGGTGAAGTTGGCCACCATTGCAGCTACGGACACTTGTCTCTCCCCATCTGACTGTACACATCCAGGCTATAGAAACAAGATTGTAGTCACTCCAAATAAAAATTATGTAAAAATGTTATCTAAAAGACATAACAGAAATCACAATTACAAAGCTACCTTAGTTTAGTTAAGTAATCAAACACAGAGGTCAAAATATACTTGGTTGAGATAGAATAAAGCAAGTACAAAAGTAGTACTGTACAATGTTACACTGTTTGCAATGTACAACAGGAAAACTGGGCAAAATTTACAACCATTCATCTGTGCACACAATGTTCAGTTTCATTGCACAGATGTGCACAGATGCGTAATTCTATCATAGCTTATATAAATTTAGAAATGACTTAACAATACATAAGGGATAGGGTTTATTTATTTTCTAGATGAGTACAGTAAAGTATATTTCCTAAATAAGCCACTTATTTAGAGGTCAGGCACATGTAAATCTATCAGGTACAGACTTCATAGTTAAATAAATTTGTAAAAATAGTTTGTTTACAAAGCATCACACATGACCAGTCTTATTCACAGAAACGTAAACCATGAACAATCTGCATTTAAGGAAAACAAAACAATGATCTCGGAGTGATTTGCTGCTATTCTTCTGAATTTTTTGTTTCAAATCTTGTCCATTTATAACATTAGTGATAAAATCAAGTAATAACATGTTCAGCTAGAAAGACTTCAAACACTTTAACCTAAATGGTCATTTGAAATCACCTGGAATATCCAAAGCAGAAAAATGTAGCTTGCAAATTTTGGAACCTTACTAACTTGTCTCAAAAGCTGCTGGCTGCCTTTTAGAACACTGGATCACACTCAAGATGTACCAAGTAGGTTTTGAGAAAAAGTGATCACAATCATAAAAAATAGGCAAAATAATATCAACATGTTGACACAATCATAATCCAAACTCAAATTCTATAAACAAGGTCTACAAGAATGGGACCAACAGCAAACTGACAAGCATCAAACATTTCCAGCTTAATACTGCACAACGAAAAAATATTTTTCTCATTGAAATCACTATGACAACCGTAAAACTTCCCCATCATTTCATCAATCTGCATTTTTTGAAACCCCGTGTTACGTGTTTGTCAGCTGAAGACCTAAAAGACAAGATTCAAAATTGTACCAGTAGCCATCTTGAAGTTCAGATTATGCTCAAAACATTTGCATGCATAATAACGCATACTATACATGTTAAATAGAGTGGTAGCAATCACAAAATTCTTATGTCAAAATACAAATGGCTCATAGTACATTGAAAGTCTGATAATGGCAACCAAAAGTGGTATCATGCTTCAGCAAACAAAGCTGTGCCGAAGTGTTCTCTGTTTTGGTCAGTAACAGATAATTTTGTCATAGCTTGGCTGGAGCAATATAGTGATTTATCTTTGTATATTTATCCACTAAGTAAACTTAAATACCTGAAGTTCAAAACACGCTGCATGGCCATAGTTCCCCTCTCTTGGGTAAAGATCAAGGTAAAAGTATCCCAACAGTTCTCTGGATTCATTACAGGTAACACTGTACTGTAATAACAAACAATGTATTCATTACAGGTAACGCTGTACTGTAATAACAAACAATGTATTCATTACAGGTAACGCTGTACTGTAATAAAAAACAATGTATTCATTACAGGTAACGCTGTACTGTAATAAAAAACAATGTATTCATTACAGGTAACGTACTGTAATAAAAAACAATGTATTCATTACAGTAAATAAAAAAACAATGTATTCATTACAGGTAACGCTGTACTGTAATAATAAACAATGTATTCATTACAGGTAATGCTGTACTGTAAAAAAAATGTATTCATTACAGGTAACGCTGTACTGTAAAAAAAAATGTATTCATTACAGGTAACGCTGTGCTGAAATAAAAAACAATGTATTCATTACAGGTAACACTGTACTGTAATAACAAACAATGTATTCATTACAGGTAATGCTGTACTGTAATAAAAAACAATGTATTCATTACAGGTAACACTGTACTGTAATAAAAAACAATGTATTCATTACAGGTAACGCTGTACTGTAATCAATCACAATGTATTATAATGTTATACAATTGTAACGTGTGTCCTACAGACCTTACATTTACCTGGAATTGTAAATGGTCACGCTGTACTATAATAGATTATGATGTATTATAATGTTATACAATTGTAATGTGTGTCCTACAGACCTTATATTTGCCAGGAACTGTAACAAGTAACATTGTGCTATATTTTCAGTACCAGTCCAACAGTTTTTGTTAATTCACAATTGGTACATCAATCGTTAAATGTATGAAAATATTATCTGTGAAAAAAATGTATTCTTTAATGTAAAAACAGTTTTCCTTTTTTATCAAGTGTTCTTTTTTTAACTGTTAATTATGACATAATGTTAGATGAATTACCATGGTAACATCTTCATGCCATGCTGGAGCACCATCCAACTTCTCAAACTTCAGACTGAGGAGCACCTGAAATATAATACAAAGCAATGCCATATAAAAAACAATGAAAGAAACAGATTACTAATCAGAGACTTGCTAAGGTTCTGTTCCCAAATACTGACCAGAGAATATCCAAACAGACTTACCAAGGTTCTCTTACCAAATACTGACCATAGAATATCCAAACAGACTTACCAAGGTTCTCTTACCAAATACTGACCATAGAATATCCAAACTGACTTACCAAGGTTCTCTTACCAAATACTGACCATAGAATATCCAAACTGACTTACCAAGGTTCTCTTACCAAATACTGACCAGAGAACATCCAAACTGACTTACCAAGGTTCTTTTACCAAATACTGACCAGAGAATATCCAAACTGACTTACCAAGGTTCACTTATTAAATACTGACCAGAGAACATCCAAACAGCCTTACCAAGGTTCGCTTATCAAATACTGACCAGAGAATATCCAAACGGACTTACCAAGGTTCGCTTATCAAATACTGACCAGAGAATATCCAAACAGACTTACCAAGGTTCGCTTATCAAATACTGACCAGAGAACATCCAAACAGACTTACCAAGGTTCGCTTATCAAATACTGACCAGAGAACATCCAAACAGACTTACCAAGGTTCGCTTATCAAATACTGACCAGAGAATATCCTAACAGACTTACCAAGGACCTCTTACCAAATACTGACTTACAAATTTTGTTGTAGGTAGCTATGATACAGCTTAATTTTGTTTTGAAAATGCACTTTAGGAAAATTGTTTTCAGAAGGGCAATATAATGAACATGTGTATTTAGTAAAGGAAACAATCATTTATTCACAATTCTGAACCACAACTACAGATGTATTAAGGCAACACAGTTTAGGCTACCACCATAGCTACTGTGTTACATGGAATAGTTCTATCCTACAACCACTGATATGGAAGAAATATTACATGTAGTCTAGTCATATAAATTTGTAAGATGACATACCTGGTAAATGTCCAGTAATCCACTGGTAACAACTTGCATAGGGAAATATTCCTTGAGTTTGTTTTGATCCACGGCATATTTCTTCTCCTCTGACATTGTCATGTAGTACTTCAAGTCCCAGTAACGAATGGTATTGTCAAACTGGAACCCATACACTGTAACAAGAGAAATAAGTCATTATTAGTCTACATTCCAGTACCTGTTTGACTAGCTGGATTATTTGTTCATAAAATAAGGATGTACCTTCTGATCAAATTTTGCTAAAGGGCCTTGATGAAGCCTTTCGAGGTCTGAAATCATAACTGCAGACTTGTCACTATTTACGACTGAAATATTACAACTAAAATGCTAACAAAGCCTATTTTTTCCTTAACATTCATATTCTTGTCAACCTGGATCTTACGTTGCTTTAGGTAAGCTGTTACAACAGTTGAACTGGTTGAACTTGCCAAACAAAAATAAATGCCAGGTATAGATCAAGACAAATGCTAGATTGTGGAATATTTGGCATGTGTACCTTGACTGGTCCAGCCATACCTATTTTGAACTAACTTGACCAATATTATTAGAATTAAGAATTTCAACATTATAATGCAATATATTTTTTGTAATTTTGTTATTTGATGGTGTTGATGCTGATTTAGTGTAGAGATGACACTGAAATCTAACATCTGATCTTTCAAGTTTAATTTAGAATGTATATATACATATATTTACAAAGTACATCCATGTATTTACATATTACATTCTAACACAGTTCAGGCCACTAGTGGAGACTAGTCTCTCTCTTTTCTGTTTTTCTTGTCTTTCCTTTCTTCTCCTCTCATATGACATGTAATACTCTGATTGTAAGATGTTATAAGTATTGTAATATGTTATAAGTATTGTAAGATGTTGTAAGTATTGTAAGATGTTATAAGTATTGTAAGATGTTATAAGTATTGTAAGATGTTATAAGTATTGTAATATGTTATAAGTATTGTAAGATGTTATAAGTATTGTAAGATGTTATAGGTATTGTAATATGTTATAGGTATTGTAATATGTTATAAGTATTGTAATATGTTATAAGTATTGTAAGATGTTATAAGTATTGTAAGATGTTATAAGTATTGTAATATGTTATAAGTATTGTAAGATGTTATAAGTATTGTAAGATGTTATAAGTATTGTAAGATGTTATAAGTATTGTAAGATGTTATAAGTATTGTAAGATGTTATAAGTATTGTAAGATGTTATAAGTATTGTAATATGTTATAAGTATTGTAAGATGTTATAAGTATTGTAAGATGTTATAAGTATTGTAATATGTTATAAGTATTGTAAGATGTTATAAGTATTGTAAGATGTTATAAGTATTGTAAGATGTTGTAAGTATTGTAAGATGTTGTAAGTATTGTAAGATGTTATAAGTATTGTAAGATGTTGTAAGTATTGTAAGATGTTGTAAGTATTATAAGATGTTATAAGTATTATAAGATGTTATAAGTATTGTAAGACGTTATAAGTATTGTAAGATGTTATAAGTATTGTAAGATGTTGTAAGTATTGTAAGATGTAATAAGTATTGTAAGATGTAATAAGTATTGTAATATGTTATAGGTATTGTAAGATGTTATAAGTATTGTAAGATGTAATAAGTATTGTAATATGTTATAAGTATTGTAAGATGTAATAAGTATTGTAAGATGTTATAGGTATTGTAAGATGTTATAAGTATTGTAAGATGTTATAAGTATTGTAAGATGTTATAAGTATTGTAAGATGTTATAAGTATTGTAAGATGTTATAAGTATTGTAAGATGTTATAAGTATTGTAAGATGTTGTAAGTATTGTAAGATGTTATAGGTATTGTAAGATATTATAAGTATTGTAAGATGTTATAAGTATTGTAAGATGTAATAAGTATTGTAATATGTTATAAGTATTGTAAGATGTAATAAGTATTGTAAGATGTTATAGGTATTGTAAGATGTTATAAGTATTGTAAGTATTGTAAGATGTTGTAAGTATTGTAAGTATTGTAAGTATTGTAAGATGTTATAAGTATTGTAAGATGTTGTAAGTATTGTAAGATGTTATAAGTATTGTAAGATGTTATAAGTATTGTAAGATGTTATAAGTATTGTAATATGTTATAAGTATTGTAAGATGTTATAGGTATTGTAATATGTTATAGGTATTGTAATATGTTATAAGTATTGTAATATGTTATAAGTATTGTAAGATGTTATAAGTATTGTAAGATGTTATAAGTATTGTAAGATGTTATAAGTATTGTAAGATGTTATAAGTATTGTAAGATGTTATAAGTATTGTAATATGTTATAAATATGTTATAAGTATTGTAATATGTTATAAGTATTGTAAGATGTTATAAGTATTGTAAGATGTTATAAGTATTGTAATATGTTATAAGTATTGTAAGATGTTATAAGTATTGTAAGATGTTATAAGTATTGTAAGATGTTATAAGTATTGTAAGATGTTATAAGTATTGTAAGATGTTGTAAGTATTGTAATATGTTATAAGTATTGTAAGATGTTGTAAGTATTGTAAGATGTTATAGGTATTGTAAGATGTTATAAGTATTGTAAGATGTTATAAGTATTGTAAGATGTAATAAGTATTGTAATATGTTATAAGTATTGTAAGATGTAATAAGTATTGTAAGATGTTATAGGTATTGTAAGATGTTATAAGTATTGTAAGTATTGTAAGATGTTGTAAGTATTGTAAGTATTGTAAGTATTGTAAGATGTTATAAGTATTGTAAGATGTTGTAAGTATTGTAAGATGTTATAAGTATTGTAAGATGTTATAAGTATTGTAAGATGTTATAAGTATTGTAATATGTTATAAGTATTGTAAGATGTTATAGGTATTGTAATATGTTATAGGTATTGTAATATGTTATAAGTATTGTAATATGTTATAAGTATTGTAAGATGTTATAAGTATTGTAAGATGTTATAAGTATTGTAATATGTTATAAGTATTGTAAGATGTTATAAGTATTGTAAGATGTTATAAGTATTGTAAGATGTTATAAGTATTGTAAGATGTTATAAGTATTGTAAGATGTTATAAGTATTGTAATATGTTATAAGTATTGTAAGATGTTATAAGTATTGTAAGATGTTATAAGTATTGTAATATGTTATAAGTATTGTAAGATGTTATAAGTATTGTAAGATGTTATAAGTATTGTAAGATGTTATAAGTATTGTAAGATGTTATAAGTATTGTAAGATGTTATAAGTATTGTAATATGTTATAAGTATTGTAAGATGTTATAAGTATTGTAATATGTTATAAGTATTGTAATATGTTATAAATATGTTATAAGTATTGTAAGATGTTATAAGTATTGTAAGATGTTATAAGTATTGTAAGATGTTATAAGTATTGGTTTTTGAGTGATCTTACATGACCAGTGTATATGTAACTGACAGTTGACCAGACATGCCTCAAGGTGTGAGGTTTTAATTAATATAAATCATATAAACAAATTTTAAGTTCAGCATTATTGTGGGATAATTCAGGACCACCTGAACCATTTGTACTGAGTTATGTGAAAGTGGCCCAATATTTCTCCCACAGTAACAAGGGAAATAATTTATCATATCATATTCAAACTGAAACTGAGGTCGCTTTCGTATATGCGGTTGAAACGGTTGGACCAGTTGAACCTGCAAGAAAACCGCCTGGTACAGATCAGGGCCATGTCTGGACTGTGCAATATTTGGCAAGTGCAGATTGGGAGTTGTCCAGCCGTACCTGTCCGAAAACTAGCTTGCTGGATATCATTATTTTTCAGAATTTCAGTAGGGTTGATGCACTCCCATATTTCCTGAAGCATTGTACTATTAAGTAAGAGTGAAATGGATGGTATTTTAATTTCAGTTTATTGTTTTATGCTTGACAGGAAGTTCTGATACTGTGTATCTTGAGTTTTACATACCCCAGTATATCAAGTCCAACAGGAAATTCTGATACTGTGTATCTTGAGTTTTACATACCCCAGTATGTCAGGTCCAACAGGAAATTCTAATACTGTGTATCTTGAGTTTTACGTACCCCAGTATATCAGGTCCAACAATCGGTACATGTGCCTTCGTGTATACTGGAATAATTCTAGACCTCCTAAACCATTTCAACCAGTTTATGCATAAACAGCCTGATACTTCTCACACTGTAACAAGGGAAGTAACTCATCATATCATAGTCAAACTAAAACTTATACTTCTCACACACTAACAAGGGAAATAACTCATCATAGCAAAGTTAAACTAGAACTCCACTGTTGCTTTTGCATAACCTGGTTGAAACAGTTCAGGTGGCACTGAAAGTGGATTTTTAAGTGTCACTTACAAACACTGTTCCTTATACTTATTACAGGAGATATCTTCTGACAGATAAAACAAATGCAGAAAGATTGACAAACATTGCAGACTTACATTTTGAAGCTTTCAGTACATATGCAGTAATATGCTTCAGAAGCACATCCAGTCACTTTAAATATGTTAAACATATAGGAGAGGATTAATTACAAATATGAGACCTACATAATCTCAAACTTATTGAGAATACATGTATTGCACAAATTAGGTCTGTATACATGGTCCATGTAGTAAGAAAAATGGGTTACAATATCTAATTGTTGTTATTTCCTTTTTATCTTTCACTCTGGCAATCTATCCAAAAGACCAAAACTACAACATTAATGACATAAGTGACATTTTTACAACATTTACTATTTTCCCTCCCACTTCTTTCCCATTGGTTTTAACAGCTGTAGATACTGATAAACAATGTCTAATATTTGCTTTTAGCACGTCATTTGATGATAAGCATCTCATGGAATCTGTATAAGTACAAGCTAATGTGTACAAATTCAGCCTAGAAAAATCATGTTTGAATAGTAAGTCCTTAACACAAGGGCCATATTCCATTCAGAGTATGCTTAACAAAACAAAAGCAAAAACACTGGCAAGTTTTTCATGCACATTGGTAGATAGCAAGGTAACAAAAGCTAAGATGTTCACACAGTCTGTTACTTAACTTACTTCCTCCTTCTTGAATTCCAAGAAAAGTTTCATTTCTTCTGCCTTAAGCTGCTGTAACTGGGAGGTTAGATCCTTGAGGAAAGATGCAACACTTTCAGGCTTCTTAGCCATCCTCATGTCAAGTACAAAGTCTGCATGGGTGGGATAGCCCAACAACTGGGCTTTCTGTTAAAATGATCACATTACCTGTATTTGTAAAGCATTTGGGGCTGACAGTGTGTGTATATAACTCCAAATATATAAAAGCAAAAAATAGACAAAAACAAAACCATTGAAAGAAAGAAAGAAAGAAAGCAAGAAAGAGAGAAAGAAAGAAAGAAAGCAAGAAAGCAAGAAAGAAAACAAAAACAATATCACATAAAGGAGCTGATTGATTCTCAATTAAGTTCAGAAATAAATATCAAGGAAAATATTCTTTGTTGAAGTTTGGATGAACCAGTAACCAAAGGTAATTATCAAATGAGAAAATCTAGTGATTGAGAGTCACTTGATGCAGCTTTGGTGATGAAAGACTTACCTTATGTCTTAGACGAACAAGTTCTTCCACTATTGGTCCATTTTCATTTTTGCATCTGAAAAGCATCAATATTTCTATGTTTACCTATTTTGGCTGTGTTATTAGAGTACTGTGACATTATGGAGCTATCTCAGTGTGTTATTGGTACTTTAGTTACTATTAAGAACATTTCATGATTTCCCATTGCCATTTACAGGCAAACAAATATTTCTAATCTGTAAATCAATCTCAATTATGTAATGAAGAAAAATAAAAAAGTAAATTCTCTTACATAACAATCAACAATGCTGTATATACCTGGAATTAAAAGCTGTTTCCATCCTTTTTCTGGTAGCTGGGTTCCTTGCTTTTTTCATACAGGGAAAGTAATGAGGGTATTTTAATGTCACTTTAAGTTTTCCATCATCAGTCTGAAGTCAACAATATATACCATGATGATTAGTGGAATAAGGGTATGACAATTCCTAGTCAACCTTAATAATTACTTTTATACTGCACTATATATCAGCAAAACAGTCACCACAGTAGATGTTTTAGAAACCAGGCTAAACAGGTTACACAGACATTTCTGTATTATGTGAAATTCCAAATCTGGCATTCATGATAATGTTTGATTTTGTTGTGTACACAATCTCCATGTATAATTGACATGGAATATTAACAACCAAACTGATGAATAAGTCTGATTACCAGACAATAATATGTACTGGTATGTTATAAATTCATTAAAAAATTATGATGTATTTATCACATGATAATCACTAATCCATGTCTATCAACTTGTGATTTAGGAGACCATAATTTATATAAAATGTCATTTTCATATTATAAGACATTCACCAAACAACACAAAAACACATACCTTATCTAAACTCTTTATAAAGTCTTCTGTTAGACCAGCTAAAAAGTGAGAATCATAAGAAAAAAAATATTGAAATAAACTTTTATCTGTTATATCAATATGAATGTATCCGTCCTAGAACCATAATATGGACAAGAAATGAAAACGTTTTTAAAATAAGCAGGCATTATTTTAGTATATTTAAAAGGCTCCCCTTTCCCATTTTTTCAAATATGCATCTGTCAAAATTCATTCACGCATGAGTATCCATATTTCTTCTCATCATCTCAGAATAATAAAAATTACGAAGCAATATTTTCTGTTTGGTGCTCTATTTCAACTATACCTAAAACAATTTATCATCTCGCTTAATACATTGACAAAAGCCACCATTTTAGGCCACCCTATCTTTGGCCAACCATTCATTCTATTAGTACATATACATGTATCATCTGTTTAAACAAAATAGCTGGGTTGTCATCACTCTAAATGATTCACCATTGATGCTATTTGGAAGAAATGCCTTGCCTCCAAATTTGACAATATTTGTGGCCTACCTGTCAAAGATTTACATCATGTCATATGTGTGAGGTCTTGTCTGACATTTCCAGTCATTATTGAGATTAAATCAACACGTTTAAGAATTGTTTGTATGTATGGTACATCTCAGCATTTCATCATCAACCAAGGTCAACAATCCAACACTTTATTTTTATCAGAATTACTGATATTTACTAAGTAGGAAATCATACATTTTTGTAATTTTAAAAAATGTAAGTCAAGAAATAAAGTATAAATCAATTTTACCTAAATCTTCTTCAGCAAATTCCAAAACAGTGTTTTCCTCATTATAATTTTTGCTGAAGTCTATAGAAAGTTCACTCATTCTCTTTTTGATGCTTTTAATTTCATCCTGAGTTTCTTTAGGTAAGTGAAGTCCTGAAAGTAAAATACATACACAAAAAAAATCAAAGTATGTCAATCTTTAGCCAAGAGATAATTAACAATTCAATAGAGTAGTATTTGCCAGGTGTTTTAGGACATTTCTGGAAACTTTCAAATCTACCAATTTTCTGTAAAAACAGCATATTCTTTTTTAAACACAATTCTTTTTTTAGTGAAATTGTCCCCTGCCTTTAACTTGAGAACAGAAAAGGAAATCGTTTTATAAAGATAAATGATGTTTTCTTATTTTTTCGCATGCTTGGATTCTTACATTGTGCTTCAACTTTTACATACATTACAATACTTACCATTCCTCTTGCCATACTTAATCATCCTCTCTACAAATCTCGCAGCCTCTGGTTTCAATCCATCTGAGTGCTTTTCTTGGAAGTCAACAACAGAATCAAAGACATCTTTTCTCATACTGTAGATAAAAAAAATTCTCATTAAGAAAAAAGGGATCTACTGTATGAATAAAATTTGAGAAAAATCCATCAAGTACTTCACACGAAATACTTTTAGCAATAACAAGAACTTAGCTTACCATCTGTTGGCTAATAAAAATGCAAAAAGAAGAGCCAAAAATCACATGCTATTAATTTGTTTTTACTTTTTGACAATATACACATTTCTTTAAGTTTTCTTTCCATCTTGTGACAGTTAAAAGCAATGGTACTTGATGTTCAATACAGATAAGGAAAAAACAAATTCTAGCCACAACTGAAGTTAGGTCTGTAGTCTGATAATCCACTGCTCCATGCTAAACTGCATACTCCATCAATTGACAGACAGAGACAGTATTTAACACTATGTACAAGCCACATGGACCTGTTTCTTTTGCATATATGTGTATAAGCTTATCAATCATCACTGGACAGGAGTCCATGTAATTGTACATATGTGTATATAAGAATGAACTTTCCCTACATGACTTGCTAAAGCACCTGCTGATATACAAATGTACAAGAATTATCATTTACACTTCATAGGGGATTACTGAATTCTGTGTCCATATGTCATTGAAATAGATCTAATACATATACCTTTCAACTTAACTCCTATCACCGCCTTTACCTGTATGAACATAAAACGAATTTCTGCCAAGCATCCAAAAAGGATTTAATCTCATATACAATGAGATAATTCCAGGTTTCTTATCAACTGAGCCAAAGAAGAAGCATGTTACATCAGCTGAGGGAAAGGGACCACAGTTAACATTAAGTATGAGCCAAATTGACCTGCCAGCCCCCCTTCCCCAATACTGTTGCTGTCTAAGGTGGAATAAAACCATCATGCCATTGTGGGGACAGCAATCCCAACACACATCTTCCACGAAAGGCATCAAACACTGTAGTGAGCAGCCTGCTTCTCATGCTTGTCTGTATTTGGCTATTCTATGCCAACACATCAGTTGTGTGTTTTTTTTTCCTCACCTCATCTCAATATCAAAGTCTGAGAGTTTTTTGTCAGCAGCTACACTTGCATCACGGAGCTCCTTATTGGAAGATACCTGTTGCATGAAGTCCAAATTGTTCCTCAGCACAGCATACTCACAATCATTGTCTGCTAAAGCCTGAATAGTAATCACAGTAGAAAAATAAAATGGATCAGAATAACCAAAAGATATATATACCCTGTTGGATTGGTGATCCTAATTGTAAGTTTATAAAAGTGATTCTGTAAATCATTAATCTTCTCTGCATTTACCAAACCACAGGAATCAGACCACAGTCTCGTCTGTTAAGACACTTGTACTATCAATAAGATGTATATGAGTTTTGACAGACAAGATGGGTACCTAACTATGATCAGACGTATCAAATGGGAAATAAAAGTCATAATGGAACTAGTCTTCTTATGGCCAACTTTTTATTATTTTTTCATTATTCTTCTTTTAATTGATGTACATGTACATGGTGAGTATATATACATACCCGGGTATATATCCGTGGCATATTAGTTTCGGACCACTTAAGAATCATTTTTCTTTAGCTATGTGATGTTGATGAACTGCCACCAAACAAATACATAAATGACTTGAAAAGTGTTCATACTACCTATTAGATTTATTTAAAATCTGATCAATGAGCTACCAGTACTTAAAAACATCCACAGGTACAACATCAGATTTGCTCACCTGAAATGATCGATATGTGTATCAGACATGTGACTGCACTTTCGTTGCTGATGACATCACTAAATCACAGAGACGCTTGAGTTAGCTTAAAACGACCCGAAGTACACGTTTTATATAAAATCATCATTTGAAAATCAAAATAAAATAATAGTGCGAAAACGATTCTTTTTCAAAACACAAACTAAAGTTATTTTTTCATCTCTAAATTGATAACTCCATAGTGAAATAAAATCAGAAATAAGTCATCAAACCTGATAATTTTAAAATCATTATTTATCAATAAAAGGCATGCATGTTTGAACTAATTTTTTCTTTACACGACAAATGACAACAAATTATTGGTATTCGAGAATAGACTGATAGGTTATACCTAATATCTGAGAGGATGTCTGACATTTTAAAATGTGTATTAAGAAAAAATACACAAATTTGCCAATTAACTAAATACTCATAATATTTCATGGTAAATGGTTTAAATTACATTTTTTACTTTTCTCTCTGGACACGTTACATCAACAGAAAATATCAGGGTGCGAGGTCAATAGTTCATGTGAAACAAAAAGGCCTTTCCGAAATACGTAACTGTCCGGAACTAATGTCGAGACGATATACATTGTTCAGTCTGTTTTTCCATGGTACATCATTCATGTCATATTCTTAACCAAGTAGAAAATAAAAAATACATGAATTGAACAAAGGTAACGTTTACAGTGAGACTTCAAACGACATGCAATACCTTTACAACACTGTCATATGTTATGTTGTCTTTATTCAAGGAACCAACACCGTCGTAGACCAATTTCGATTTCTCGATAAGACTTATGGCTCCTTTTACTATACTTTCGGGCGTAAGGTCCCATCTCAGTTTGTGTCCTGCATAAGCTTTCATACTGAAGGAAAATTCTTTCCTTGAAATGAATGAGTGCGCTTTAAAACAATGCGTTAAATATCGATACTGTTATAAACAAACATACAGACATCACGATAATGTCAATGTCAAATGATGTCTTAAATCTAATAATCATTACTAAGTTCCGAAAGGCGTACAACTGACTCGGATGAAAAATTCTTATAATATTAAGAATGGAAATAAAAACGAAACACACCAAGCCCTGCATCCGTCTCTTTTCGCAGTGATAATATGAAACAAAATTGGTTCATGTAACAATTGATAATATAAATAAGTTCAAGAATGCCTCCGCGGCTCCTACATTTACTTGGGGAAAAAACTTTATTTCACGCGAGTATAACATAATAAAGATAAAAACTAAAGAAGCAGCTCTGCAGATTTCACCAATATAAAACTTACTTGTGTTTGAACGCTAAAAACGATAAATGGCAAATACATTAGCAGCTAGGATGTATCCTGACAAAAGTTAGGCGACTTTTACCATCGTTCTTCATATTTATAAAAAGGAATAAATCGAGGTATTAATACACGTATGCACGTCCCTGAAATATATACATGTAAGCAGAGACGTATGTTATATATGTCTCTGATGTAAGTACTCGGCCAGATCGATTCGACCAAGAAGTGACACAGTGTAACAAGTTGACGATCTCTTTCTCTAAGACATTTTCATCACTGCTGTTATCTACGTACATTTGTATGTAGGCTAGAGTGCGTATACTATCTATACATAAGTACCTGTGAATTATTTTCAGTTTCCATATATAGTTTCCTTCACTGTATACAGCGATCATATCACCTTCAGCATATATGTGCGGAAAAGGATAATTTTATTAATATCAAAATCAAGCTATATCTGTAATGTTTATAGTCATTTTTTCGTTGTCGAGTTACCTCCCTTAATGGACTCTTGTATCCTTGATTATCACATCAACAAAACCACGTGAAACAGTACTGACAGGTAAGAAGATAAATCTACTTAATGTAGAATGATTCCGCTTATATAATCATTATTTTGAATTGATAAGCTGACATTTCATTCTCCAACAGAGACTTAGATATTGATAACTTTTTGATATAGGGTCAAAGTGGGCGGGCATATATCCTCTTCGTGTTTGCAATTGAAGTTGCCATTAAGACCAAATTTTCAGTCTCTAAAGTGATGATTTGATGCCAATATTCACATTTATTATGCTGTTATTAATATTTGCTGTTTACGCGCATTTAGTAAATTATCTGTAGAGACAGGAATTTTAGGCCCATCACTGTACACTTATTTAAATGTATATATATATATATACACAGTTGCAGCAAATTGATGTATTGTTGTTGTTTTTAAATAAGATATGGACATGTCTGACGACGAAGAAGAGATGCCTGACCTTGTCCCAGCGGAGGTTACACGGGTACCAATTACGGTCATCACTGGATTTTTAGGTTTGATATAAAATTCATTACTACATGACAATTGTTTTATGTCAGATGTACAAAGATACATATAATTAATTTTGGAAGGCCAGGCAAAACGTATTTCTTATGTAGCGGATGGTGTTGTGCCAAAAAAACCCCAAAACCGATGGGTTCGTTCAATGTTTAATCGATGTAAAATAGACATTCAGGAATATGCAATAAAACATTATCAAATACTCTCACAACTTCACAAATCTCTCGTTACATATTCAACAATTCATACTCTTCTTTCATTAACACATTACATTTCACAGAGTGAAAAAATTTAATACTTCTACATTTGAATAAGATATAAGAACCAATAAAATACTTTATAACATGACCATTCCAATAGTAATAAAGTAAAAGTGAACACTACTCACGTACACAAGTACATATACACTACACAAAGGGACGCGCTTGCCAATATGTATAAACGTTACACGTGCAGGTAAAACGTGACACTGACGATGTGTTCGCGATGATAAATAATACACACATGTACATAACCAGTACATATATATATATACTACTATACAAGCTATAAATACTACATGAATCAATACCAATATACAAAATATGACCCTATTACACTTTCAGGATGCATATACAGTATAAATTGTTAAGACCAAAGATGTCTTATACATGATACATAAATATGTAGGTATATGTCTGAAGAAATTTGAAGATATTTTTACATAATGTGCTTGTACAACTGTACCAGGGGTGTGTCATACAGACTACATTTTACATGTTCATACATGGATTGCATCCCAGAACTGTACATATGCACAATGTATGTGTATAATTTGTACACATTTGTATAATATGAAAAGGCTAGAAGAAAGAATTCTTGCCAGTTCAATTTCTTACCCAATATACATAGCTCTATAGGTAGCTATACTTATAAAGTATTTATTAGTTTGTCACTTGCTTAGATAAATCGTGTTTTTAACAGTTACATATACAGTAGAGGTACATGTTACTAGCTATAGCTAGCTTTTATTTTATTGTTATTTTAAGATGTATAATGTTTTACAATATATTTTCAGGTGCAGGAAAAACAACTCTACTAAACTATGTTTTATCTGAGCAACACGGAAAAAAGATAGCCGTCATAATGAATGAATTTGGGGAAGGTATTTTTTTTTATTTATTTTGAAGTAGAAATGAAATTCATACATGTGTTGGATTTGAATTTTTTAAAAAAGGTTTTATTGAAATGATTGATACAGTCAATGATTTGAACTTATATACACATACATAAAGTTATGGGCAATTCATGATTTGAATTTCTGTTAATTATTTTACAGAGTTGTTAGTTCTTTACCTTTCTAAGGATATTTACTAATCAGAAATCAAGTAAGAAATACATTTTATCAAACCACACTGGATGATGGAGTGATAGTGATAATGTGGTGTCAAAGTATTAAGATATATATCACAATATGAGAAGATTTCAATATTAATAGCAACACTTATTTGCTTTAAAGGTTGAAATGTTGTGTTGCAGGTGAATCTGTTGAGAAATCCATGTCTATTGGTCAGGAAGGAGAACTGTATGAGGAGTGGCTGGAACTGCGTAATGGTTGTCTCTGTTGTTCTGTCAAGTGTGTACCATTTATAAGTTATTTATGTATCAGTTATCAGTTAACTAAGTACCAGTTATTAATGTATCTCTCTAGTGTATGAAGTGATGGGCCCAGTTTCATTATTGATAACTTAATACACATACAATCGATTGCTTATAATCAATTTGATCCATTTACTGCATATATAATGCTTTCAGTTATCTGTTTCTTACATTTAAGATATTTTATGGTTTTGAAGTCAGTGTTTGTTGGGCGACTCTGTTACTTTTTATTTGTTTTTACTACTTATCAAATACCATTGACAAATGCCTGTTAAGACTTCCCCAAATCATATTTCATTATAAGCTTGCCTGCCCTGTTAAAAGTGATGATGATCCTGTGCCAGCTTTACCCTTTAAATGACTTCTTAACTTCCAATTGGTCCAAAGTCATCACATTTGGCCAGCAGCATAATTTGGTGAAAGACTACCAAGTTTGGTCATATGAATGACCTTGTGCCACTCTCAAAGTTACAGGGGTCAGACGTGTTAAAATCTTTCAATAATTTGTCAATTATCAATAGGCCCAGGGTCGTGATACTGGGTCAGTACCATGCTGTGATAAAGGGCTCTCAAGTTTGCTCAGAGGAGTTTTCAGGTGTCAAATGTGTTGAAATCTGCAAACAACTTCTTTTCAATAACCTGTAGACCCTTGATCATGTTATTATGACTGTATCATTTTGGGATAAAGATAAAGGACTACCAAGTGTATTCAAATGAATTACCTTGACCCACTTTAAAGGTCACGGCAATCAGATATGTTAAAGTTTTTAAACAACTATTTTTCATAAAAAAAGAGGCTTGGGGTCTGTATAATAGGGCAGTATTATGTAAGGTGAAGGGCTACCATTGTAAGTGTGTTTAAATGAATGACCTTGTTCCTCTTTAAAGGTCACAGGGCACAAATGAGTTAAGAACTTCAAACTTCTTTTAAGTACCCAATAGGCTCTTGACATGTTAATTATATAGTAACATGCTTTGGAAATAGGCTTTCAAGTTTACAGAAAGTGACTTTAAAGCATTTTTGCTCAGCTACATAATAGGTAAGTGATTCAGGTCCATTGGACCTCCTCTGTGTGTTTTTCAGATGATTAATTCTATATTTTTTTATTATGCAGAGATAATGGTGTGAAGGCTATAGAAAATCTGATGACAAAGAAAGGGAAGTTTGACTATGTCCTGTTGGAGACAACGGGGTTAGCTGACCCTGGTGGGTGCATTTCATGTGATATTCAAATTTGACATAAAGACTTTTTCAGTTGAAGTATTTTTAATTTTGGAAAGGTGTTAGGACAATTGTCAGATTATTATTGACAGGCAAAAAGGAATAATGTATATAATGCATAGAAATAGATTAACACTTAAGTGATGTCCATACCTTACATACTTACAACTTAGATAATATACCAAGTTTTTCATAGGAAATTGTAATGTAATTATGTGTGATTTTTTGGGAAAATAAATCAGTATAAATATTGATAATGTGATTCTGCAAATATTGAATATGTATGGTAAGAAAGACATACTGGATATGGTTTTTTTTTTTACCAGGACCTATTGCTTCCATATTTTGGCTGGACGAGGAGCTCTGTAGCGACATATTTCTGGATGGTAATTATGTTCTGATCTTCTTTGTGTTATACTTTACTGAGCCTTCATTAACACATGTTTGACATTTCTTTTTGATTACTATTCATGTAAGAACAAGATCTTGTGATATTAGACCTTTGTATACACAAAAAGGTGTATTCTGTAATGGTGATACCCAAAACAAATACTAAAATGAATGCTTTATTTGACAAGTATCAAACTTTCTTCCTGTGAATTCAGTCCTGCCACTGTAGTCTGTGGGTCATATCATGAACATAGGTACAGTTGTAATTTTAACACAAAATAACGTATGCAATTGCTTCATGTTTTTGAAAAAATGAATACCCTGCCACCAAAATTGTTCTAAGGGTCCAGCTGGCCCCTAGTAATTGGTTATTTGGTATTTGCAAGGAAATAGTAGCTCTAAGGCCCTACCCTTATCGATATTTAATATTTAATATAATCTTTATATGAATTGTTACAATACATGAATAATGTCTTAAGGTCAAAGGGAAAGGACAACAGGCAGATGAATTTGGATGTTGTTACGTAGTAAAATTCTCCCCCTTATAATGCTTTGATCATATTTCAACTAAATTTGTTAAGCTGTCCATGGTGCATGTGAATCAGTTATCATACACATATGAAGGAAAGGTTTTGTTGTCCCTCTTAGTGTTAAGAGACGAAATTGAAACTATTTACAATCCTTTGTAACACAACATTATTTTTGATAAGAGTGTTTTGCTGTTACTTCATATTACCATATTTTTCCTGCAATACATCCAAGTAACTATCATCTGTGACTAGAACAAAGGCAACGACATAACATTTGTTGGAATTTCTGATGAAACAGCGATAGATGTGGAATTGACCTAGTTCAGGCAAGGCTTCAATGCCAGATAGATAGAATGATTAACAAAGTATTCTTTGTTTTATTTGTACATTGTATATACAGTGTATGATAGTACATATTTGTATGTTTATTGTCCTATGTGTGGGAAATGATGATGTTGTATAGCATGTGTACATGTGTTACTATAAAATCTGTACACTTTACTAAAGATGGAAGTCCTGGTCTGTTTTTCCTTGTTTTTCTATCATGACTTTCATTCTGTAATTCCTGTGCATAATGGAGTAGTTGACATTCATTTATATGCAGATAAAAACATGAGCTCTGTAGAACTAATTTACCAGCAAGCATGTATAACAAGTTTAAACAAAACACAAACGAAATATCTAAGCATGATTAAAATACATCAGCAAATCAAAAAACAGTTATATACTATGTATTTACCAGGTACTGACAAGCACAAAAGTATAGTTAAATATATCATGCAATGTGTGATGTAAGCAAATGGTAAGCTGAAATAGGAACATATTTATGTCACACAGTATTCTCTAATAAGAATAAGAAAAGAGAAACATGTAGCAAAATAACACAAAACATTGCATTTTGAAATAAAAATAAAACTGGTGATAAAATATTGAGTTTGGGGATTTTTTGCAGAAAAAATAAACTTTAATTATTTTTATATATATCTTATTAACATTTGAGTCAAGATTGCATTCCTTAAATAACACAGGTAAAACTGACGGTATCCAGATGAATTCACCGTCCAATTAACTAATAAGTGCCCTGTCACATCAGCTAACCCCACCGACCGACAGTTTTCCAATGGGTAGGTGTGTACTTTGGTAGCCAAGAGGATTTGAGATTTAAAAGCGATGAATAAAATGATAAATATTGCATTTAATAAACACTGTATGTTTAGATTTAAACAATTTTGCTTTTAAAAACAAAACCTGAAAAAAGTGAAAAGACGATTCCCATCATTTGAGTGAGTACAAGATGAAAATAGGAAAACAAGCAAATTCATATAGAATGATATTGTCTTCATTTACACAAAAGTTGTTACTTATATGTAAATATAGATGTGCAGTTAACAAATAGAAGTTAAAATAAGTTCAATTTGCCTTACCATTCATCAAACTACTGCATGCCTATAATTTTCAGAAGGGAAATAACTCTAGATATTTTAACTACCCTGGGTGTTAACGGGTAGAAATATTGCAACCTGTACATCATTCTTCGGAGACAATATCTAATGATTTTTTATGAAAAGTTAACTTTTTATTTTCATTGCTGGTGACCTTTAATGGATAAAAGAGTCTAAACTCATTAGATCCTTTATTGTAAACTTAATGACTTCAGGATCTTCATATTTCTTCTGGAGGAGGGCTAAAGCTTAGAGTAGTTTGTGAATATTATAGGAAATAAGACTTTCAGGTACATTTTATTTTAGGGCCCTGTATAAAAGATGTGGGTGTCCTATATTTATCAGGTTGTCTGTCTGTCTGTCTATTTTTTTGTTTTGGCACAATATGTCATATTCTGTCAGGCCATTTGTATACCAACTTTAAGTGATGCTTCTTCGAAGGAAGTGCTGGTATGGGAGAGATTTTTGTGTCCTTAAGTAAAGGTCCTTGTCACTAACTATCAATAGAAAACTTGTTTCTGCAAAATATCTTCAGTCCTGTTCGGTTCACCACACTTAAATTTTCTTCATTGCTTTTCACAGGAAGTTCTTGCACTACTGTTTCATGTTCAGAGATCAAATATTATAATTGAAAATAGGAACATACTGTAAACAATCAGATCTGAATGTTACTGGTAAATATTTACTTAATGGTTATGTAATGAAGCATGATTGACTGAAATAAGTCATTTTTGTGATAGAGTGATGACTTATTGCCTGTTGTTTCTTTGGGTAACTGAAGGGCTATCAGATAGGGTTTAAAAACAAAACAAACAATAAAAATTTCAACTTCTCAACAATATCAAATGCATTTGATCTGATTGTTTTAAAGCGTTGACTTCATTTTATGTAGGGTCATCTTTCATGGTCGGATACCATTTAAGAGTTTATTGTACATGTTAGCTTTAGAGGGATAACAATATGTACATATTATGTTGAGAGAAAAAGATCATACATTACAAGTACCAATGATATACAACAAATGTCCTTGTTAATTGTCTGACACAAGTTTTATTCAAAATTTAATGGAATATCCATGCATTTCACTGTCCTTATAAGTTCCTTACGTAAATTGACATGATATTGACTTCAGTATCTATTGCAATAGCCTAAACAATGTACTGTTAGTCGATTTTGGGATGAAATTGTGTAATTTAAATTCTACTGATATTTTTTGTTGATAGAAGAAAACATCCATTTACTGCTGCAGTGAGCAATTCTATCCTTCCTAAGCTACAAGTTACTTCTGAGACACATTCCTAACTTCGATGAATTCATATTTCATCGGTAATTAATACCAATAGTGAAGTGATCTTCTCTCATGCTTAAATTCAGATACTTCTGAATATAACCACAAATAATGATGTACACACTAAGACATTGACATATATACTGTTCCACACGACACAAAGATGTAAGGGACACAACCTGTCTGCGTAAACCTTATTGATTCTAAGAGAATGGAGGAAAAACTTTCTTGTTTGAAGCTTTTTTTTCCAAATGATATTAGTTTTACTTGTTTCTCTCCAAATATCTTGGTTATTCATTTTCTCCTTCGTGGAAAATGTCAGTTACTTTAAGGCCAGTAATCAGCATTTCCATCCGGATATATTTAGTAATTACACAACACATTTCATAAGGTAATGGATGGTTGTTGGTACCCTGCTTAATACAACGTATAGTGTTTAAACAACTTGTTTTTAAAGCCTTTTGTTTTGAATGTTCCTGTCTTTTGTGCAATCTTCCAGATTGCAGAAGATAGACTCTACTGGTTGGCTTTTAGTCCACGAGGCTCGTCATAACCTGCATATTTTTTTCATCCTTTGAGTAGTGGCATATATGATTCAGAACATCTTTCACGGCTGATTGTATTGTATTTGTATCAGATGGTGCTTTTCACTTATGTCTCTTGTACAATCTTCAATTGGAATATTTGGAGGATTACTTCACTACCAGATGTAATTTTTCTTAATTACCGGTATTCAAGTCACAACTTCTACAAAGTATACCAGTGATGCAATACCAGTGAAAACCAAAAAGGCTGTAAAGTATAACTTGTCTGCATATTTAGCTACAGTGTACCATGTAATATTTTCTGGCTGTGAAAAAGACATTTCATTATGGTTTTTTTCTTTTGAATGTGTTTGATTTTCTGTAAGATCTGACTCATCGATTGATTCTAATCGGATCATGTTGTGATTTTTGATGGATTCAAATTTGTCTGAAGATTTTCTGGTCTCATTTGGATCTCTTGATTTGGTTTCAACTTTACCTTTTCTGCAAATGTTACAGAAATTCTTAATCAAGTTTTTCATCCACTTGGGCACTGGTTCCTCATTGTCATCTTTACTGTAGGTTCTGATCTGGAATATGTTCACAGTTACGATGAAAACACTAAGAGCAAGCATTGAGAGTAGATAATAAGATAGATGGGACATTGGTTCTGAGGAGGCTGGCATCCTATCACTAACCACTGTCATATACACCGTGAATGCCAGTAATACTGTGATGCTGTATGATGTTCGTTCACCAGAATTGAAAGGAAGGATAAACACAAAAGGGTTGATAAGCGCCAGCATTATTATCGGTATGACAACACTAACCATAAAATTTAACGGTCTCCTGGACATTTCGATGGTGAAGGAAGCAATGTCGACACCTGAGGAGGTGACAAAGGCTTCAGTTGATATAATATCCCAGGCAGAGTTAGGAGAGTAAAAACCAAAATTGATTGTTGGAACGTTTGCGGTAAGTGAAACCTTTGTTCCAAGGTATCCGTATGGGTTGACTGAAATTGTACATATCTGTAGGTCAAATGGGAATTTTGAAACATCTGGTTGACAAGTTGCCTGAAGTATGCGTCCAGGTGTCCAGGAAACGGAACCATTGGCCAGAACAGTGACTTTGAAATGCTTGCTGCTGATGGGGTTAAAGTCATCTGCTGGGTTAATTAAATACATTTTTGGAACCCAAATTTTTTTCTCTGAAAATGTAAGAGATGTGGTATTGTTATAACTACTGGAATCCCACACAAGACTTTCATCTGTCCAAGAAAGAAACAAAACAATAACCACCGAAATAACTCCGGTCACTTCATTAAAATCATTAATAGACACAAGGGACATGCCAACGTCAATAGATACTGGCTTTGTCTGGTCCTTTACTGGCCGAACTTCACTGGAATAGTTCACCATCAGATCTGCCAGCAGTGTTTTAACATCCTCCATAGAATTAGCTGTGATGGTCTGTACACAGATCACTGTGAATATGATGTAAGGTACTCGGAACATGTCTCTGATTTACATATAAAAGACATACACAAACAACCTCTTATAAAACAACCAGTTTCAATTGCTTAATCGTTCAGTTCTGACTGCTAAACTTTACTTTGTAAACTCATATTGTTTCACATTAAAAAGTCAACTGAAATTTATTCTGTTGTAACAGAAGTGTCTATGTCCTGGTCCTCTTCGACCACAAGGTATCAGATGTAACAGAAGTGTCTATGTCCTGGTCCTCTTCGACCACAAGGTATCAGATGTAACAGAAGTGTCTATGTCCTGGTCCTCTTCGACCACAAGGTATCAGATGTAACAGAAGTGAAGTGTCTATGTCCTGGTCCTCTTCGACCACTAGGTGACAGATGTAACAGAATTGTCTTTGTCCTAGTCCTGGCCGACCACTAGGTATCAGATGTAACAGTATTGTCTATGTCCTAGTTCTGCTGACCACTAGGTAACAGATGTAACAGAATTGTCTATGTCTTAGTCCTCTCCAACCACTTGGCATCAGATGTTACAGAATTGTCTTTGTCCTAGTCCTCTCCAACCACTGGGTAACAGATATTACAGAATTGTCTGTCCTAGATCTCCGACCACTAGGTATCAGATGTTACAGAATAGTTTATGTCCTAGTCCTCTCCGACCACTAGGTATCGGATGTTACAGAATTGTCTATATCCTAGTTTTCTCAGACCACAAGGTATCAGATGTTACAGAATAGTTTATGTCCTAGTCCTCTCCGACCACTAGGTATCGGATGTTACAGAATTGTTTGTGTCATGTTTAGCTCCAATCCCTAGGTAATAGATGTTTCAGAATTGTCTATGCCCTCTTGAATGACCATTGGATATCAGGTGTAACAGAATTGTCTTTGTCCTCTTGAGTGACCACTGGGTATCAGGTGTAACAGAATTGTTTATATCCGAGACATTGGTCACCTTTCAGATTAAGTAATTGTTGTGATATGAAGCAGTCACGATTCGTTTTGCCCTTCCCATCTATTGGCTATGCTTGAAATCAATTCATCATTTGCAAATGGGATTTCCTTTGACAATATTTTTTCTGCCCAATTTAAGCTAAGCATATTATACAGAATTATTGATTTGGATCCCAGGTATATCTAGAAAGTAAATACAGAAGCTGGGTTTGATTATCACTGACTTGCAATGTGTACATTATTTCATCCTTCCCCTGAGTATCAAGCAGTGATATTGATTCAAACTGACTGATATGAATTATTCATAATAGGTATTGAAAGCTGATGCCTCCAAATTACGTTGTTTTAAAATGTTTCCGCATTTTAATTTATTGGCTCACCTTGTCCAAAGGGCCAAGTGAGCTATTGGCATACCGCATCATCGGTATTCCATCTGTCTGTTAACTTTTTCTACAAATTGCTACTAGTCATGAGCAATGAAGTATATTTTGACTAAAATTTGTCAGGTGCATCCTTGTGGGAAGGGAAGCAAACATTGTATAAATAGTAGGTCTCGACACCCAGAGACCTTAGGGATGGGACCCAAAAGGGAAAATTTTTCAAGTCATTTAAAACCCTACTCCTCCTTAAAGAATGATTGTGTTCTGCCCAAATTTGATCTGATGCATACTTGGGCAAAGGGAAATCAATCTTGTATAAACAGTGGGTCTCGGTCCCCTAGGATCGGAGGGGCGGGCCCAATATGGTAAATAAAGCAAATCAATCAAAATCCTACCTGTCCTAAAGTATTTGGTGTGAATGGATTGGCTGACCCCATTTAAGGGATTCAAAGGGTTGGGATCCATTAGAAAAACAGATATCTTGTTTTTTGTCTGTTTGGATATTTAGAATTCCTTTAATGTTTAATGAAGAAATTTCAGTCAAACATATTCAGGTAAGTGATACAAGCCCTATGGGCCACTTGTTTTTTCACCCTTGTATACTTTCTGATAGATTTCCCGTTTGAGATCCTTTCTTCTTAGATGGATTTTTTCAGTTCCCTTAATTGCTTTGCACACATACCAGGTGCTCATCACGTCAGAACCACTTATGTACAGGTATCATATTAATGACCACAATAGATGATTATTGGTTTACCATTGAAATTAGAAATTTCATTCCATATTTGCTATAGTAGCCCTAATGAATAGTCCATTACTGTACCTGGATGTTCAATAAAATTAGCCAAGAAAGTATTTAGCAATAACATGCAATCACATTGAACATACATGGATGAAGGTTGTGAAATCTGATGGTTTATGCTGCAAGCACTAATACAGTGTTGTATAAGCTTTTAATTTTATTGAAAGATAAACACATGGTAATTACTCTGATGTTGTTAATATTGATTATTTCTTTCAAATCAGTTTTTAAAGTTCTTTCTAATTCATGACTGAACTGTAATTATCGGATATGAGTGGGAATCATTAATGTGTTTTTGCTCCCTGAAAATTTTCGTGGGGAGCATATAGTTGCCATTTTGTCTGTCCTCCAATCACTTTGTCTATCGCTTTTGTGAAAGAGCATGACTGTGCCCAAAGTTTAGGAAAGATCATGAGGCTGTATGTGAATATCAGTTGTACTAAGGCAATGTAGAGAGTACTAGATTCAAAGCCCACAACCCCTTACAGAGTTATTGACTTTTTGTGTCAAAGCAAAACTTAGCTTGCATTTAAACTAGGACAACAAAATTTGGAATATACCTTGGTCATACTAAGATGATGTGCAGTGTACTGAAGTCAGGACCTAACCTCTGAATTACAGAGTTATTGCCCTTTGCTAACATTTTGTGTCCATAGCATGACTGTATAAAATGAGTTGTGTGCTTCATATGAATGGATGCAGATGAAAAAACTTACTATAGTAAGTACATCTTTTGAAAATAGTTAAAAGTCTATAATTTTTCAACTCTTATCTCCTACACAATTTACAATACCAAAATATTCATAAACATACATACTAGTAAAAATCAGTGCTTATAGAAAACATTTACATTAAGTATTAGGCTGAATGAAATATGCCCTTTCTTTCAAAGCTCAAGCATAGGTATGTGTCAGACACAAATTCATATATATAATTACTTAAACATGATTCTTTCCTCTTCTTATCTTTTCATTTTAACATATCATTACATATATATGTCAATGATACCACCAAACACAAAATGAACAGATGGAAAAAGACTTCAATATGAACAGACAGAAAAAGACTCCAATAGTTGTTTTCAGGAGCATTCATCAGTTATGTTGATACTCTAGTTTACACATCTTATTTTTTTGTGGATTTTTAAATGTAATGTCAATGATGTGTTGAAACATTGATATAGAGCCCATCATTAGAAATATATATTGTAATGTGTTTGCCTTCTGAACTTAAAATCATAAATGGCCCATGAATTGGATGTGAAAATTGACAAGTTTACCTTAACATTTTAACAATGTACATGTAATTAATGACAGCCTTATTGTAATTGGTGATGTCAATGCATCAGTGAGCCAACTTTTCCCTGGGGAGAGACAGAATTATTTGTTCATGATCATAAATGATAGCTGTGTTCTCAAATAATAGACCCTTGCATCTGATGTTAAATTTCTACATCTGTTATTGTTCTTATTGTGTGAGCTGTGGAGTATTTTGGTTCATAGACATGTATAAATGGTTAATAGAAACTAAACACTGCATAGTATAACCAATACATAGCCTGCTCCCTTTTGTTAATTAAAATGTGCTTATTTACTGTAAAGTGGTAATTTTTTTAGAGTTTTTTCTCACTGTCAATATTTTTGTGCAAGATGTTGACAACTGACTAATAAGCTCACAACACACGACTTCAAGGGGTGCATGAAGATGAAGATTATGGTGATGGATTATGGTTGTCATAGTGATCTCATAGGGAAATGGTCTGTCTGTCTATTTGTCCATTTGTCCTTCCATCATTACGGAGCATAACACAAAAACTATGAAAGGTGCCAACATAAAACTCTACAAGGAGAAGTGCAGTGAACATGAATCATCACTCTTTTTTTGCATAATTTAAAAAATATTGCACTTTGTTATTTTTCATACTTAAGCTTTGTCCCATTCGGGGAGCATAAGTCTTTCGCTGTAGTATTTTTTAAAATTTGAATTAGTAGACTTTTGTAGACTTATTGGTACTTTGTTATTCCACTATTATCAAGGATGGATAATAACAATAGTACATTGAAAAGCAGATTGAAAGAGAAAGTCACAGTCTGATGTAAGACTTTCCCATCAAACAAATCTTTTTAGCATCAAAGTTTCGGTAAAACTGCAAAATTAAGAACCATTTCTAGAGATACTGCATGCATAAAGATAATACCACATTTATTTTGATGAGTTAATTGTTTTGTCTTTTCACAGGTATTATCACCCTGGTTGATGGTAAATACTGTAGTCAGGTATGTTACAAGAAGGTTTTATCTAAACTTTTCATAACCATTCCACTTATATTTGTGAAGGCCAATGTTCAATATGTACTGCTTCCAATTATGACTTATCTAGTCCTTTCAGTACACTTTTGCACCATTGAAATTTGGTTGCTTTACCCCAAATGTGTCATATAAATATTTACAAAATTTCATTTTCGTCCAACCTTTAATGACACAGAAATGTAATTTTTCCATTTTTGAGGTCATGGGGCCATTTTTTCTTGTAACACGTTTGGCCCTTTGAAACAAGTGAAAAGAAATGTTCATGTAATGATGATAGAAGCAGATTGTGTAATGTTGCTAAATACATGTAAATTGTAGAACTTCTCTATGCAATCTCTCTCAAATTAAATTCTGCTTTTGCAATACTCAGCATTTAAAGGAGTTAAAAGAAGATGGATCTGTGAATGAAGCAACAAGGTAAAGTATGAAGTGAAACCAAAGTATTATTCAAACTGTATACAGACTAAAATGGTAGAATCTATTTTCTAGGTCAGTCATTATAATTTTTGAAATTACAACAGATTTTGGTAGTAGATAATGACATTCTTGGGTAGCCTAGTAGATAGTGGAGGGTGTTGGACTGGTAGAGAGTGTTGGACTAGTGGAGGGTGTTGGGCTAGCTGGAGGGTTTTGGGCTAGTTGTCAGGTGTTGGGCTAGTGGAGGGTGGATAGTGTTGGGCTAGTGGAGGGTGTTGGACTATTGGAGGGTGTTGGACTATTGGAGGGTGTTGGGCTATTTGAGGGTGTTGGGCTAGTGGAGGATGCTAGACTATTGGAGGGTGTTGGACTAGTGGAGGGTGTTGGACTAGTTGGAGGGTGTTGGGCTAGTGGTCAGGTGTTGGGCTAGTGGAGGGTGTTGAACTAGTGGAGGGTGTTGGACTGGTGGAGTGTGTTGGGCTAGTGGAGGGTGTTGGGCTGGTGGAGTGTGTTGGGCTTGTGCAGGGTTTTGGGCTAGTTGCCAGGTGTTGGGCTAGTTGTCAGGTGTTGGGCTAGTGGAGGGTGTTGGACTGGTGGAGGGTGTTAGGCTAGTTATCAGGTGTTGGGCTAGTGGAGGGTGTTGAACTAGTGGAGGGTGTTGGACTGGTGGAGTGTGTTGGGCTAGTGGAGGGTGTTGGGCTGGTGGAGTGTGTTGGGCTTGTGCAGGGTTTTGGGCTAGTTGCCAGGTGTTGGGCTAGTTGTCAGGTGTTGAGCTAGTGGAGGGTGTTGGACTGGTGGAGGGTGTTGGATTAGTGGAGTGTGTTGGACTAGTGGAGGGTGTTGGGCTAGTGGAGGATGTTGGACTAGTGGAGGGTGTTGGACAAGTTGAAGGGTGTTGGTCTAGTGGAGGGTGTTGGACTAGTGGAGGATGTTGGACTAGTGGAGGGTGTTGGACTAGTGGAGGGTGTTGGGCTAGTGGAGGGTGTTGGGCTAGTGGAGGGTGTTGAACTAGTGTAGGGTGTTGGGCTAATGTAGGGTGTTGGACTAGTGGAGGGTGTTGGGCTAATGGAGGGTGTTGGACTAGTGGAGGGTGTTGGGCTAGTGGAGGGTGTTGGACTAGTGGAGGGTGTTGGACTAGTGGAGGGTGTTGGACTAGTGTGGAGGGTGTTGGGCTAGTGTGTTGGGCTTGGAGGGTTTTGGGTGTGAGGGTGTTGGACTGGAGGGTGTTGGACTAGTGGAGGGTGTTGGGCTAATGTAGGGTGTTGGACTAGTGGAGGGTATTGGGCTAGTGGAGGGTGTTGGACTGGTGGAGGATGTTGGACTGGTGGAAGGTGTTGGACTGGTGGAGGGTGTTGGGCTGGTGGAGGGTGTTGGGCTAGTGGAGGGTGTTGGACTAGTGGAGGGTGTTGGGCTAGTGGAGGGTGTTGGGCTAGTGGAGGGTGTTGGACTGGTGGAGGGTGTTGGGCTAGTGGAGGGTGTTGGACTAGTGGAGGAAGTTCGCCAATATGAGGTAGATGAACAATGGTAGGTTGTTGGGCTAGTGGAGGGTGTTGGGCTAGTGGAGGGTGTTGGACTAGTGAAGGGTGTTGGGCTAGTGTAGGGTGTTGGACTAGTGGAGGGTGTTGGGCAAGTGGAGGGTATTGGGCTAGTGGAGGGTGTTGGACTGGTGGAGGATGTTGGACTGGTGGAAGGTGTTGGACCGGTGGAGGGTGCTGGGCCGGTGGAGGGTGTTGGGCTAGTGTAGGGTGTTGGACTAGTGGAGGGTGTTGGGCTAGTGGAGGGTGTTGGACTAGTGGAGGATGTTGGACTAGTGGAGGGTGTTTGGCTAATGGAGGGTGTTGGTCTAGTTGAGGGTGTTGGACTAGTGGAGGGTGTTGGACTAGTGGAGGGTGTTGGGCTAGTGGAGGGTGTTGGGCTAGTGGAGGGTGTTGGACTAGTGGAGGGTGTTGGACTAGTGTAGGGTGTTGGGCTAATGTAGGGTGTTGGACTAGTGGAGGGTGTTGGGCTAGTGGAGGGTGTTGGACTAGTGAAGGGTGTTGGGCTGGTGGAGGGTGTTGGGCTGGTGGAGGGTGTTGGACTAGTGGAGGGTGTTGGACTGGTGGAGGGTGTTGGGCTAGTGGAGGGTGTTGGGCTAGTGTAGGGTGTTGGACTAGTGGAGGGTGTTGGGCTAGTGGAGGGTGTTGGACTAGTGAAGGGTGTTGGGCTAGTGTAGGGTGTTGGACTAGTGGAGGGTGTTGGGCAAGTGGAGGGTATTGGGCTAGTGGAGGATGTTGGAGGTAGGGTGTTGGACTGGTGGAAGGTGTTGGACCGGTGGAGGGTTCTGGGCCGGTGGAGGGTGTTTGGCTAGTGTAGGGTGTTGGACTAGTGGAGGGTGTTGGACTAGTGAAGGGTGTTGGGCTTGTGGAGGGTGTTGGGCTGGTGGAGGGTGTTGGACTGGTGAAGGGTGTTGTGCTAGTGGAGGGTGTTGGGCTAGAGGGGGGTTGGACTGGTGGAGGGTGTTGGGCTAGTGGAGGGTGTTGGACTAGTTGGAGGATGTTGGGCTAGTAATTGAAAGGTTTTTAGCTTGACTCTTATCAGACATGTTTTATCTCTGAACTGCAAATTAAAATTTTTGAACCTATGTGAGACAGCAGTTTTATTGCAGTAAAACACGAACCTTGAATTAATCAATAAAACCAATTATAACTTAACACTGAAAGCTATTAATTATGCAATTCATCCATCATATGTTACAGACAGATAGCACTAGCTGATATTATTGTACTGAATAAAACAGACCTTATCTCCACTGCTGAGTTGGCATCACTGAAGCGACAAATAAGGTTGGTGGATGAGATCAGATGATATTGGCCGGTTAGAGAAATACTAGGATGTCGGGTCCTAAAATCATTAAGGATAATTCACAAGAGAGAACGATATATATTTACACTGAAAACATATTGTTTTAGGTAATGACTCAGGCTTTTTTTTTACAAATATTTACTTGGGGTGTTGGGATTATTATAAGTGTTATAAGTTAGTGTACAATTGTATTTATTCACAGTTACACTGTATCAATAACAGAGGTGGTTACAATAACACAAAATTTCCAATACTACTAAATAGAAATTTTATACATGAAATTCTAACTGAAAAAGCAATGATTGTTGTTTCCTTAACAAACTTTTTTTTTTCTGTATGTAAGTGATCGACTGTTTTAATTACTTTCATTTCAGGAGCATTAATGGCTTCGCAAAACTGATTGAGACCAGCATGTCAAGGTAGGCAACTGTCCCCAGAGTATTCAGGTATTATCAAAATTGTTAACATGTAACTGTGATATGTCTGAAATGTAGTTTGTCACAAGGTTGTGGTGGTGGTGGTGGTGGTGGAGGGAGAGGGGGGAGACATGAAGCCATGTTGCATCCTATCATATCTGGAATACTCTCAACAGGTTTTGTTTAAATTTACCTCATAGTGTGATAATGTCATATACTGCACCTAATCAGATTAACATGATCATCGGTCAGTGTTAAGGGGTCAAAGATCACATTTGACGATTTTAGCTGGAAGGCCCAAGGGAGCTATAGGGATTCTGCCCTGTTAGTTGTCCTTCTGTGAGCTTTCCTTACAAATTGCTACTAGTCATGAATGCCTAAGTATATTTTTTGCCGCTCTTGGCCCCTGGGGCAGGAAGGGCCTAGAAAAGGAAATAGGGCAATTTTTTAAAATCCTGCTTCTTCTGTAGGAATAACTGGGTGTTGTCCCAATTAGGTCTGAAGCATTCTTGGGTAAAGGGGAATCAATTTTGTATAAATGATAGATCACAGCTCCCTTGGGTGGAAGGGATTGGGCACAATAGCGGAAATAGTGCAAATTCTTTAAACTTCTTTTTATATAAGAATGCCTGGATACTGTCACAATGGTACAAACAGTGCATCTTACCTCAGGAAGGGCGGGGCTTAATATAGGGAATACATAAAAGTGCTTTAAATATTTTTCATTTAGTTTGAATTAGTAAATTTGTACTTAACCAGGTGAGCGATGCATTCCCTATTGACCTCTTATTGTAAAGTCATCAAACAATGATACTTATATCCATGAGAGAACAAGGGCATCCTTGTCTTACAGGCATTAAGTAGAATATCCAACGGATATATTTGTTTTCTTTAAAGGCTTGATTTTAAAGTTTTCAATAGGCTGATGGCACCTGGTAAGAAGACTACTATTGTTCATTTTATTTCAGAGTCAACTTAGACGACATACTGGATTTGAATTCATATGATGGAAAGAGTAAAAATAGGTAATTATACACTGAAGTAACCATTTTGATTAAGTAAGAACTATTTTGACAATTTTAAGAATTATTTTAATTTGGATTCAATGATTAATGTTGATTATTATGATAGATTGTCCCAGAATTCAATGTCTAACTGTAGATTGACCAGTTTGCATGATATTTGTACTTATATATGTTTCTGTATTTAGATCCTGGAAGTACAATGTATTAAAAGTAAAATCTACTGAGATGTTAAATAAACTAACCATGTTGTTATGTGTTGATATTTCTTTTCATTTGTGTTACCAAGCATGGAAGAGGTTTTTGCACAACGAGGGTTTTCCCAACAGGACAAGCATGTTATAGATCAGGTAAATTGTTCCAAAGGAAATAACTCTGAATAAATTTTTTCTAGATCATGAAAAATAGAGAAGTATGAAATAATTGTAAGCCCAACTTTTTCAAACAAATTCATTTCAAGTAAGTTTTCTTGAATCATGAATTATTTGTTTTTAACTCAATAAAGTGATCATTGTTTTTTTCCAAACATTTATTGTGTTTTCTTTGTTGTTTTATTCTTGTTTTTTTAGAGCGTGACAACCTTGACCTATGAGTTCCAAGGACATGTTGATCCCAAGCTTCTGGAGAAAGCATTACAGGATCTACTATGGGAGAAAATGGTCAAAGACTCCGATGGAAATGTTATTGAAATATTTCGTCTGAAGGTATAACAGGTTTGATGTAATTCTTTTCTAAAAAACCCCAATGACTTTCGTTACTTTCTTTCATTTGATAGATAAAAGGCATCACACACACACAAATTATTGCCAGAAACGGCCATTGGTTTTACTTTACGATTCAGTGAAAAATAGAAAACAGAGTTTGTTAATATATTTAAACAAGCGATGTCCACTTTTGTCATGTTGTTCGCTTTGCAGATACTCTACAGTGTTCATTCATTGTATTTCAGGGTCTAATGTCAACACCAGGTGATCCAAACAAACTTGTTGTACAGGCAGTGCGAGAATTATATGACACGTTTCGCACATCACCATGGCAACATGATGAAATCAGGGTCAACAGACTAGTTTTTATAGGTGATTTACCCTTATCTTATACGTCATCTTCAAATTTATTCTATGTTTTGTATCATCGCTGAATATGATCATTTCATGATGTAATGTTTAAATTTTCCTTACAAACGTTTTGATGATTATGAATATTATTTAAATTTTAGTTCACAAATTTGGTTTTAGATACATAAACATGTACAATCAAACCAATCTTATACGACCCATTTTCCTGCACCATTGTGTCTTATTTGACATCCTCCTTAACACCTTTAAGTAAAGTTTTCAGAAATCCTGTCTTATTTGACCCCTGATTTTTTTTTGAAATTTCTCTTTGAACTTTACCCACTGTTTAATGTTATCCTCTAGTATCATTCTGAGACCATGTCTTCTGAACTTATCTGACTTGATGTTCTGTCAAATATGACCCCTGAGTATTCTGATATTGTATGGAATCTGACCCCTGAGTATTCTGATATTGTATTTTTTCTGATCCCTGAGTATTCTGATATTGTATGGAATCTGACCCCTGAGTATTCTGATATTGTATGGAATCTGACCCCTGAGTATTCTGATATTGTATTTTTTCTGATCCCTGAGTATTCTGATATTGTATGGAATTTGACCCCTGAGTATTCTGATATTGTATTTTTTCTGACCCCTGAGTATTCTGATATTGTATTGAATTTGACCCCTGAGTATTCTGATATTGTATGGAATCTGACCCCTGAGTATTCTGATATTGTATGGAATCTGACCCCTGAGTATTCTGACATTGTATGGAATCTGACCCCTGATTTTTCTGACATTGTATCTAATCTGACCCCTGAGTATTCTGACAATGTATCTTATCTGACCCCTGAGTGTTCTGACATTGTATCTAATCTGACTCCTGAGTATTCTACATTATGTCTAATATGAACTCTTAGTGTCCGAACATCATGTCAAGTCTATACCCCATAGCATTCTGACATCGTGCCTAATTTGATTTGATTGTTTCAAGGTACATAACTTTAAACATTATGGTATCAATTTGAACCCATAAGCCAGGAAACTATAATACTCTACATGTTTCACAAGCAGTCAAGAAAAGAAAGCAATTACATGTAATTCCATTTTGAAATATTTATCAAAATTGTTCTTTTTCAGGTAAAAATTTGGATCAGCAGGTTTTAGAAGATCTCTTTTCAATATGCCAACTAGAAGACAGATGACATCTGAATGAATTATATAAATTAGGAATACAAATGTGTATTTTGTATCAAAGTATCCAGACCTTTGAGTTCTAATCTGTTCAGGAATATTTATGGTGGATGTCAACCTTCATAAATGAGTTATGAGCCGATAGAAAAATAACAGATGTCTACCCGATTATGAATCTGTACTTTATATAAAACAATCTCCGATGATGCATCCTAGAATATATTTCTTTCAGCTTCCTTGAAATGTGACTTCAATTTCAGGAATCTCTCCAGGTCTGTATTTTGAATAGGTGTATGTTTTACATTTTTCGAGGCATAAACATCCTGTATTGGATAGATTGTTTACACAAATTTATTCTGTTTTCAGTCATTTAATGATATCATTGCCTAGACGTTACAGTCATGTACCAAAAATTTAGACTGTACTGTATTTTTTTGAAGTGTTGCTGCAAATATCAAGGAATATATAGTGTATTGTTTTTTTATGTCTGCTGATAAAAGAGACACTTTCATTTTGAAAATAAATCAACCTGATGTTATTTTCTTTTTTAAATATTTTCTGATGACATGTCAACTCTTCTTTCACATCATTGACATAATTTTGGTACATGTGGAATTGTATTCATAACATGTAGTCGTGATAGAAGTCAGCTATATTTTCTGTAGGGTACCAAGTTTTGTATGCTATATTTTGGGACAGTTGTTCTGGTATTAATGTTTCTGGAGAAAAACAGGATGAATATTTATCAAATTTCATAGAAGACTTAGCTCCATTCCTTGATATACATGCTCAATTTTAGGACTGATTGCGTAAACAATATGACAGACAAAAATACATCTTGGATTTTGACCGTTTAAATTTGTTATTATTTTTTCATGAGAACACATTGTATTTCATGCACTTTGTCTGTCAACTTTAAATCCTTCTAGAAAACTAAAAACAGCTGGTAACTGATGTTTGGCAAGGATGTGTACATGAATTGGAGTATATTTTTTTCATTTGAATAACTTCAACCTATTTTCAAGGACACAGAGATCAAATATGCTAAAATCTTTAAAACTTTTTTTCTCAAATATTGGGATAAGAGGTACCTGAGCTGAAGTGCTACAAAGTGTCCTAATATAAATTACCATGACTGATTTGTAAGGTGACAGGGGTCAAATATGTAAGAAAATATTGACCTATTTTAGATGGCACAGGTAACAAATACATTTAAAACATTTAAGAATCTCCTAAATTTCTATAAGAGCAAGGATACTCATGTTTGCCTAATAGGTACTTTAGTTGGAGTGCTATGAAGTCACTTCATATAAGTGACCTTGATGTATTAGCAATGTCACATGAGTCAAATATGTTAAAAAGCATTGGAATATTTCAGAAGAACCAGGGTACTGATGTTTGGTCAGGAAGTACTTGGGATGAATGCTATATATATTTCTTAAAGATGACCTTGACCTTTTTTGAAGGCACAGGGGTCAAAAAATATGTTTTAAGCATTCAAGAATCTCACCAAGTTCTATATGTGCAAGGATACTCATATTTGGCCAGTAGGTACTTGGATAAGAGTGCTAAAATTCACTTCATATATATGACCTCAATGTATTTTCAAGGTCATAGGAGTTAATATGTTAAAACACTTGAGAATTGTCTTTATAAGTTCCCAGAAGATGCAAAGTATTGACATTTTGCCAGTAAGTACCTTGGATGAAGTGCTGAAAAGTTTTCTTAAAAATGTTTTGACTTATTTTTGAGATCACAGGGGTTAGATATTAAAGTATTTGAATTCACCTCAGGTTCTGTAAGATGAAGAGTATGAAATTTCATATAATTGACCTTTACCTATTTTAAAGGTCATAAGGGTCAAATGTTCAAAAAGTTTTAGAATCACAATTTTTTTTCCAGAAACCTGCTGATTTTCAGTCAGGTACCTGTGATTTGTAGTGTACATTGGCACCTTTAACAAGGTTTATAAAGCATGTAATAGTTATTTTGGTAATCTTTTCATTATTGTCTATGTGATTGATACAGGCCCTCTGGGCATCTTGTTTTTTTTATGCATTGAAAAATACAATATTAATATCCTTAATGGGCAGTCTGTTGTTTTTTTCTTAATTTTCACTGAAATTTTGCATAATAAAAATGATAATAATGAAAATCTAACACAATACATGTTGCAAGCTGAACCTCTGAAATTTTACGTTTTTAAGGAACTGAAGTGTTCAGCGCAAGTGAAATGCCGTTAGTCTGGCATGAAACTGATCCGTTTTCCAAGCAGGTTTGATTGTTAGAGTTATGAAATATTATATCTCTTAAAATGAATATGTAGAAGTCAGTACTTACTATTTTTAAGTCCCACCATCTTATTAAAACATAGTTATTAGAATAGAGTTCCAGTTTTCACTTTTGTATTGTTTTGTAGAGCACTGTTCTGAATTACTTATTCCTGCTAGATATCAAACTACATTTGTACATTGTATATACTTATTAAAATGATAATGATAACAAATTAATTGGATATATACCTAGTTAAATGGTTGAGATGATAACGATAACAAACATGATAGGATATATACCTAGTTAAATGGTTGAGATGATAACGATAACAAACATGATAGGATATATACCTAGTTAAATGGTCGAGATGATAATGATAACAAACATGATAGGATATATACCTAGTTAAATGACTGAGATGGTAATGACAACAAAACATCACAGGAAATATACTTGATTCTTGTGTTGAGTAGTTAAAACAGCCTTTAACAGGAATTTTTATTGCAGTAACCAATAGAGGAGCAAGGTCAACCAAGAGGTCAGAGGTGTTGTGTGTCTTAATCACTTTATTTTCAATTTAATTTTCAGCACACATATCAAAGGTGTAGTTGTCGTTTTACCTTCAATTCACCCCTATAATCACTGTGTTAAGTTAGTGAATGTTGAAGCCATGTAAATCTTATAGATAATTTGTCTTTTACATACAATTAACTTTCTTTGAAAAAGAAGTTGTTTTAGGTAGCAAACCCAGAATACAGAAACGCAGGACGTTCTATATGTACAATTTTTTAATTATATGTATGATATATTTGGTCTAATTTAGTAGTATGATAAGCATATTTCATACATAGAACGTCTAATTACTATGGTAGGGAACAGCAGTGAACAACCAACAATAAAATCATAAAACAGAGGTAGATTAAAATTCTTTAACTTAAATTTTAAACTACAAATCGGAGGGGAAAACGACGGATCTAACAAACAACCGGACAATCAGAAATTACAAACAACCAGAGATGGAAACGACAGTAGGTTTGACTAACAACAACATGGAAGTAGGAAATAGGGCGAGTTGAGAAGGGAAACAACTGCATATTTTAAGGGGTAAAACACCCAAAATAAGAAAAGTTCACGTCAGATTCAACACTCAACTGTGTAGGAGTAGGAAACAACGATAGATTTAACGAGGAAAGAAACTACGGTAAAAAGAAAATCGGGAGATTTATCGTACAGAAGCGGGAGAGTATTAAGCAAAGTACATACACAATATTTATTTGACCCGGAAAATGTTATTATTTGATCTGGAATGAAGTTTGAGATTTAAGTTTTTATTCAGGTAAGCGAATCAGTGCTCATGCAGGGCATTGATTACCAATTCAGACAACTCAACTCTAGTGTGTAGTACAGTATATCGTAGCAAAGAAAAAAATAATGTTTAAAGTGATTAGTAAGAAATCTTCACTTCATTGCCATTTCAATTGCAGAACATACCAAATAACTGTTGAATACATTTACAAATTAAATTGAAGATTGAATCAAGATTTCAATACACTTGAAAAAAACCCCGGTTACTGAGCGGCCATGTGGGATTGCCGATTTTCACTTTTGTAAATCAAAGTAATACCTTATTGATATACTCTTTAATATTGATGAAAATCACAGGATTGTATAATAAATACTCATTACCATATTTCGTAATTGATACGGACAGAGGTCTACAATTCAGTTTGAGTCGAATACAGTTGTGAAATTATTCTTAATCATGTGACTTTGATGCAACATGGACAGGGTATCATCTCTCATATGTGATCATGTTGGGAAATGTCACATTAGGAACAGTGCAAATAAATTAGAATCCTTCTGCAGGAATGTTCGGATCCACCCATGGGAGAAGAAGAATCATTTTGTATGAACGGTAGGTCAAGGCTCCTTGGGGCTGTAAGGATGGGAAGGGCGGAGCCGCACAAGGGAAATATGTCAAATTCTTTAAAATATGCAGGAATGCCAGGATTCTGTCCCAATTTCGTGTATTTTCTATACTGTCATTTTCATTCCTTAATGCTCTGACGTCAAGGTGTGATATATCGAAACTGTGTAGAGACGCTGGATTTATTTCAACGTCAATGAAATTAACAGCAACTTCTGGATAATCAATAAGATAATATTATTTAGTGGAATGGTATTGACAAATATGAGTATGAGAAATAAATAGGTATATAACCTAACACTTCAGATTTCCGTGTCTCGCAAATGTTTAGAAGAGTACAAACTTTTCAACCACTATCAAAAACTAAGTTAGTAGGCGACGCAGTAAGAGGCACTTTGTATAACTGTTGTCATATACAAGGTACAGCTGATATTGTTTATTTCAATAAAACACGGAGAGGAGAGTGAACATTGAAAAACCAATAGCGTTTTAGTGTTGTATTTTATTTTACTAATGACTCAATTAACACATAGAGACATGCTGAAAACAAAAACCACGAAAATAAAACACCAGGCGGAAACAATTACAACAGGATTGCCTAAACAAGTTTTATTCATAACATAACGACCTTCTCCCATACTTAAATTCAGATTAGCTCCTGAATATTACCACACCAAATGATGTACACACATCGGTAACTGATACCAATAGTGAAACGACTTTCTCTCATTACTTATATTCATACACTCCTGAATATAACCACACAAAACGTTGTATACACTATACACTAAGACATTGTATTCAACACAACAATGTAAGGAACACAACCTGTCTGTGAAAACCTTATTGATTCCAAGAAATGGAAGGGAAATCTTTCCTGTTTTGATATTTGTACCGAGTTAAACAAGTTATCTGTTTTGTCTCGAAATGTCCGGATAATTTATCATCCGATTCGTGAAAAAATAGCTACTGGTATGCCAGTAATCAGCTTTCCCATCCAGTTCGAATTGTTAACTACAAAACACATTTCATGGTAATTTTCCTGATTTATAGATTGTCCGGTGTTCATTCATATTGATTAACAATTTTAAATCTTATAATCCCTCTCTTTCTTTGTCTCTTTTTAGAATTTCCAAAAGAATTAAGTTGCGACTACTACAAAGTATCTCAGCGATGCAATACCAGTGAAAACCAAAAAGGCTGTAAAGTATAACTTGTCTGCATATTTAGCTACAGTGTACCATGTAATATTTTCTGGTTGTGAAAAAGATGTTTCATTACAGTTTTCATCTTTTGAATGTGTTTTATTTTCTGCAAGATCTGACTCATCGATTGATTCTAACCGGATGATATGGTTTTTGATGGATTCAATTTTGTCCGGAATGCGTTTGGTTTCATATGGATCTCTTGATTTGGTTTCAACTTTACCTTTTCTGCAAATCTTATAAAAATTCATGATCAAGTTTTTCATCCACTTGGGCACTGGCACCTCATTTTCATTTTTACTGTAGGTTCTGATCTGGAATATGTTCACAGTTACGATGAAAACACTAAGAGCAAGCATTGAGAGTAGATAATAAGATAGATGGGACATTGGTTCTGAGGAGGCTGGCATCCTATCACTAACCACTGTCATATACACCGTGAATGCCAGTAATACTGTGATGCTGCATGATGTTCGTTCACCAGAATTGAAAGGAAGGATAAACACAAAAGGGTTGATAAGCGCCAGCATTATTATCGGTATGACAACACTAACCATAAAATTTAACGGTCTCCTGGACATTTCGATGGTGAAGGAAGCAATGTCGACACCTACAGTGGTGACAAAGGCTTTAGTTGATATAATATCCCAGGCAGAGTTAGGAGAGTAAAAATCCAAATTGATTGTTGGAACGTTTGTGAAGAGTGAAACCTGTGTTCCATAATATCCATGTGGGGCGATGGAAATAGTGCATTCCTGTAGGTCAAACGGGAATTTTGAAACATCTGGTTGACAAGTTGCCTGAAGAATACTTCCAGGTGTCCAGTAAACGGAACCATTGGCCTGAACAGTGACTTTGAAATGCTTGTTGCTGACAGGTTTGAAGTCGTTTGCTGGGTTAGTCAAGAATATATTTGGAACCCAAATTTTTTTCTCTGAAAATGTAAGAGATGTGGTATTGTTATAACTACTGGAATCCCACACAAGACTTTCATCTGCCCAAGAAAGAAACAAAACAATAACCACTGAAATAACTCCGGTCACTTCATTAAAATCATTAATAGACACAAGAGCCATGCCAACGTCAATGGATACTGGCTTTGTCTGGTCCTTTACTGGCCGAACTTCACTGGAATAGTTCACCATCAGATCTGCCAGCAGTGTCTTAACATCCTCCATAGAATTAGCTGTGATGGTCTGTACACAGATCACTGTGAATATGATGTAAGGTACTCGGAACATGTCTCTGATTTACATATAAAAGACATACACAAGCAAGCCGCTTACAAAACAGTTTCAGGTGTTGTATTATTCCGCCCTGACTGCTCAGTTGTACTTAACACATATTGTTTTGAATTAAATGTAGTTTAATGTTGTCGGCTGATATATCTGTTGTTGTAACGGATGTTTCGGTATCCATAAACCACTGGGCATCAGATGTAACAGAATTGTCTGTATCCTAAGTCTCTCCAACCACTAGGTATCAGATGTAACATAATTGTCTATGTCCTAGTTCTGCCGACCACAAGTATCAGATGTAACGGTATAGTCTATATCAATGTCCCCTCTCACTGTTATGTATTGATGTCTGTATTTCTGTCATATCCTACCTATCAGGGTTATGATATGAAGCAGTCGTACTTTGTCATGTCCCCTGGTAATGTTCTAAATCATTAATATGCTAGTGCAAACTACTTACGTATATATATACATGTATCACATTTAAAAGCCATAAGCCACTCCCTTAGTTAATAATACATCGGAACTCACGGACATTAATTAATATCAGCTTCAGAGGTAGTTAGCAATACTCTTAGCAATCATCTAGAACATACGTTGATGGTGGTTGCAAAATTTTACAGTTTATGATACAAGCACTAATATAGTGTGGTGCAATATAAATGTATAGTAATTACCAAGGAAATGACTTGGTCCCAAATTCCTATGATGGATGTCAATATTAGTGATAATTCTTTTAATGTAGTAAACCATCAATCTCTACCAGATTTGTTGTTCCTTAACGGTCACAATACAACTCTGTAAACGTTCACAGACTGCTTATAGTTAACACCGCTGTCAGAGTCAAAGTTTGTGTCGGCAAAACATATGGATGCGTCCCTGACAACACCATTTAATGAAACAAAACTTGTAGACTGTTTCGTATGCCAGTTATCACTGATGTCACAGTATTTGAACAGGTATCTCGAGAGTACGTCAGTAGTTGAAAAGTGAAAGTAGAAAATGTAATACGACGGTTGGTAACTCTTGATATAAACTGTCATGGTTTTTGCCATATAAAGTAATGCAACCATTTTCCGGATGAACAAAATAGTAAAAAACAAACATGAAATATTTTTTCATGTGACAGAAATACCTATTTTGTAAGAATCTTGTGAGCCATTGACAGAGGTGTATATAGGGAACTGAAATGCTCTCCATTTTGTGTCCGGTGTATGGCATTGCCTACATTTAAGCAAGGATCACGAAACTGAACGTGTAGAGTGTACTAGATTCAAGACAAACAACTCCTTATAGACAGTGTTATTGGCGTTTGCTAAAGTGTCTAGAACAAAACTTGGCTTGCATTTAAACTAGGATAATGAAACTTGTATACTTTAACTTTACTAAGATACAACAATATGCCAAGGTGTGTAACCGCTTAATTGAACTCTAATTGTCTTTTCATTATAATTTTGTGCCTAGAGCATGTTTGTATTTTGAAAAGACGCAAATGAAACAATTAAGTACTAAATATATTTTCATAACAATTTCAAAGCCTTAGATATTTGAACTCTTAATAATCTCGCTCATATCTTGAACATACATACTACATATGTATAAACAATAAGAAAAATAAAGTAGTCGTTGACCTTTTTTCCAACAGTGTGACAACCTTGACCTACGCGTTCTACGGACATGTTAATCCCAATCTTCTTGAGAAAACATAACTTGATATATTGTAGAAGAAAAGTAACCAGTGTAAATATTATTCAATTATACGTATATTCTGTTAAAGGTTTGATTCATTGTTTGAAAATATCCAATTATAAAAAAGTAGACAGATTTAAGGTATCACAAAAAGTGCTGATTGCCACAAGCAACCATTGTGGTACTACGTTTACTCATCATAAGAGAGGAATGAACTCAATTTGTATGAATTATATCTAGAATGATAATAGAAAATACAAAAATAGAAAACAAACTGTTTAAACTAAGCTCCTGATAGAACATTTTACAAATGGAGACGTGTTTTAACATATTTACTATTACAGAATCTTTTCAATGTATTAATGAGCCATAATGAAGATGTTGTATATGTTGCCTATAACTAATGATGTCCATTTTTGTCATGTTGTTTGCTTTGCAAACACTCTACAATGTTCACGCATTAGATTATATTACAAGATCTGATATCAATACCAGATGATCCAAACAAGTTTGTAGTTCAGGCATTAAGATAATTATATGACACGTTCCGCACATCATCATGGTCAACAGGTTGAAAGCAAGATCAACAAACTAGGTTTTATAAGTGAGTTACCCTTATCTTATAAGACATCTTTAAATGTACTCTGTCTTGTATCATCGCAGAATAATTTAATGATGTAATGTTTTAATTTTCCTTTCAAACTTTCTGATGATTATGACAATTATTGAAAGTTTAATTTACAGATTTGGTTATAGACACAGAAACATGTACAAATCTAATATAACCCCTTTGTGATGTAACATTGTTTCTTATTTGACATCATTCTTAACGATAGCTCTAAGTACTCAGAAATCTTGTCTTATCAGTTTTTTTTTAGTTTCTCTTTGAACTTTACCCGTTTGTAATATTACCCCATGCTTAATGATATTCTGGTATGTAATCAGATCTAATCTGACTTGATGTTCTGTCTAATCTGTTAGTATCACGACATTTTATTCAGTTTTACTCCTTCTAATCTGACTCATGAGTATTCTGACATTCTGTCTAATATGGCACCTTAGTATTCTGATTTTTTGTCGAATATGATCCCTTAGTATTCTGAACTCTTAGTGTTAAATAGTGTCTCAGTACGCATTCTAAGTATACTAACATCATGCCAAATCTGACCCAGTGGCATTCCGACATCATGTCTAATTCAATTTAATGGTTCCACCCATTTAGAAGGTACCTATAAACTAGAAAAAGAAAACGCGTTAGTTTTTACTAGCATTCTAAAAATGAAAACAAATTCATGTATTTCAAATTTTCAAATATTCACCCAATTTTTATTTCGTAATTGTTCTTTTTTTTATGAGAGCAAGGACTATGAAGTCTCTTTATATGAATAACCTTGATGTATTTTCAAGGTTAACGGTGTTAAATATAAAAAAAAGTTCAAGAAGTCTTATTATCTCAGAGTACTGATATTTGACCAGGAGGTACCTTGGATGAAGTGCTATCAAGTTGTTTTCAAAGTGATCTTGAACTATTCAATCACCTGGGTCAAATGTGTTTACAGTATAAAAATCTATAGGAGAAAGTGTATTTGTCCTAGAGAACTATGAAGTCATCTCATAAAATAACTTTGATATATTTTGAAGACCAAAGGTTTCAAAAATGTGTAAAACATTTAAAAATAATTTGGTACCTGTGATATATATCGACACCTTCAACAAGAAAAAAACACTTAAGGATTTTTTGTTAATCTTTTCTTTATTGTCCATATGCTTTTTTTCTTGGTTTTAAAAGATATATATCCTTAATGGACAGCCCGTGCCGTGTTTTTACTTTCACTTGAATATTGCATTAATAATGATACAGTGATATATTGATAATTTAACACAGTGCAAAATTTCATAAAGATTTTCATTTATTTGAAAAGGGAGAGAAATCGCTTCATTTGACAGTAATGTGAGGAAACTGTTACAAATACGCATTGATAGAATCTCTGAAATCTTGCGTGTTTAGTGACTGAAGTGAACTGATCAGGTTCCTATGAGGATTATATTTTTATACTTAAGAAATGTTGTATCTTTCAAAGATAAATATCTAGAAGTCAGTGATCACTATTTCAAGCCCCACCAGCTTATCAAAACATAGTTATTAGGATAGAGTTCCAGTTTTCACTTTTGTATTGTTTTGTAAGACACCATTTTGAGTTACTTATTCCCGCGTAATATGGAACTTCAATGTAATACTAATTTAAGTGATTAAAATGATAACAAGAAAGATAATAGGATACCTAGTTAAATGATTGACATGATAATGATAACAAAAAATCACTGGAAACATTGATTTTTATGTTGAGTAGTTAATACAGCTCTAAAGAAGAATGTTAATGCAGTGTCCAAGAGAGGACCAAGAGGTCAGAGGTGTTGTGTGTTTTACTCACTTCCTTTATTTTTTATTTTTCATCCTACATATCGAAAGGTTAGATGTCATTCTACGTTCAATTCATCTATATAATTAGCTGTTGTTGAAGCCATTTATTATTAACTGAAAATGCAGTTGAAGTCGTATAAATGATGCAGAATTCATGTGCGACTTACCTCCCTTGACTTATTGAAGTTAAACTCTGGTTATTTTAGGAAGCAAACCCAGAGTATAGAAACACAAGAATCCGACGTTCTATATGTTTAATTTAAGTGTATGTATATTCACCGTCCTTTAATGAAATTAGGTGTATACTTTGACTATACTAATGCTGTATGCTACTAAGACGACATGCATTGCACAAAAGTCACTGTGCGCAACCCCTTAAATGCAAAAATATTGTTCTTTATTATAATTTTAGAGCAAATCTTTTTTTTTTGATAAGATGAAACACAACTTATTACAGTACGTACATTTTTAGTTTTTCTGGTGAAAAAATCCGCCTGTAACATCAGTTAAAGTTGAACTTAAATTCTGTCAGAGGTTTGATTCGTGAAAAAAGATTGCCAGAAACAACCATTGTGATACTAATTACATCAAGGGAGGAAATACCTTCATTTGTATCAATTAGATATATACAGATAACATAGAATATATATTATTATTGAAGGTTTTACTTTTTGCCACTGAGACGTGCTAAAAATGAACCGGAGTTGCTGATACATAATTTCACATAATAACTAAGACAAAAGCATTTTTTCATCCAAACAATTTTGTTTTCAGGCAGTGCGAATATTAAACACGTTCCGCACATTACCATGACAGAGAGAAAACTGGGTCAACAGGCTAGTTTTCATAAGTAAGCTATCATTGTTGAATGTTCATACAATACATACGAAAA